CGGCTCAGGTCATGATCTCACTCCTTGTGGTTTCAAGCCCCGTGTCCAGTTCTGTGGACACCTCAGAGCCTGGAGCCTGCTTTGGATTCTGTATCTCCCTCTCTCTCTCTCTCTGACCCAACCCTGCTCACGTTCTGTCTTTCTCTCTCTCTTGCTTTCAAAAATAAACATTTTTTAAAATTAAAAAAAAAACCAACTTTATTTTCCGTCAACCTTCTTTCCTTTTTGTTTGCCTTTGTGGAAGAGCAGCTCAAGACCACTCAGTGGTTGTTCCTATCCATTCAGTGGCTTGAGCAGTGGAAGCCGCAGACCAGTTTTCAGTGGGGGGACTGAGCACCCCAGTCTTCGGCAGGAAACTGCTGCAAAGGCACAGAGCGCACCTGCCCGCCTTCAGACCAGTCTGCAACTTGGAGTTGAGTAGCGGCGAACTCAGGAGCTGGAGCCGTCCATTCCCCCTGAAACTCCTCCTTGGCCACAGCCTTTCCAGCAGCGGCCTGCCCTTCCTTCTCAATCTCTTCAGGGTCTGTGCAGAAGCAGAGACCAAGCGTGACTTCCCATGGGTCCCAGGAATTGATGCCACTCACGTGCAGAACTTCCCGGGCCGGCATCCACCACGCCAGACCCACCGAGTGAGCTCCTTTGTTGTCGCGAGGGAGGGCGATGTCCCCATAGTGCAGAGTCTGTGTTACACAGAACGATGGTAGGCAGGTTAACATAAGACGCCTCTGAGAGAGGCTGGTGGTCAGCCCTGGGATTCGTAACCACCACAAGTCTTGGCTCTGGGGAGGCTGCCTGGATCTGGGTAGGGAAGGTTCCAGGAGCAAAGTGGCCAGCAACAGGGGTGGCTCCTTCAGCACTCTTCGGCACAGCTCGCTGGCCAGTGCTCCTGGATGATAGGACACTCACATCGGCTCGGTTTTCAATGGCAACAACGGCATGAGCTGCCGGCAGAAATTTCTCCCAGGTTCTCTTCAGATTTATGATATAGATACCATCCCTTTTCCTTCTGTAGATGTACTGTTCCATTTGGAAGTCAGCATTGGGGCCACTTAAGTGGGTTCCTGCTGCAAGAAGTTTGAGGTCATCCTCCTTCATTTGCGGGACATAAAGGGCTCCGGACATGGTGAAATTTCCCTTTAAGTTACGTCAGGGACGCGAAAAAAATATATTTTTGCCCATATGGACCCCTCCCTGGGTATCCTGGAAATCTCCCATTTGTGCAAAAAACGAAAGGGGCGCCTGGGTGGCTCAGTCTGTTAAGCGTTGGACTCTTGATTTCGGCTCAGGTCATGATCTCACAGTTTGTGGGTTTGAGCCCTGCGTTGGGCTCTGTGCTGACAGTGTGGAACTTGCTTGGGATTCTCTCTCTCTGTCCCTCCTCCCACTTGCACTCTCTCTCTCAAAATAAATATTTAATAAGCCAGGTAAACAATGGGTTGCTTTGGGTGGGGCACTAGGCGTCTCAGGGTGAGAGGAGTTTTATAACAGGGCCTTTTGTAGTCTGATCATTTTACCACGACACGTTTTATTTTTCCATTAATGTGCATGGATCAAGTGAGAGGTGCTCTCCGCTCTCCATCTGTCTTCCCCCTTTGTTCCTGGCCAGCCTGACCTTCTGCCTATGCACCCCAGAACACCTCCAGGCTCACTTATCACTTTCTGCCTATCTGTCACAGCCTTCAGGATCCCACCCACCTCACGGGTGAGGAGGAATGGGTCCTTCCTTATCTTGCCACCAGGGGACAGCCCACACCCAGGTCATACGTGCCTGGGGAGCTGGGAGAGCGGGCAAGTCATTGAGAGTCCGAGGAGAGCTCCGATGCCCCTTCCATACAGGGCTCCTGGGGGCGGAAAGAGGCGCAGTCCTACACAGGCCCCCAGTGAAGGACAGGACGGAGAGTGGGATCCTGAAAACGGCGATGACATTGTCCCCTAGCTCTACACCACCAAGCTGGCCCATAACCACTCTCTCCCACGCTTGTTCCACAACCTCAAGATGAGGAGCATTCCCTGCACAAAGCACAGACTCCCCCAGCAGACATCTGGGGTCCAGGGATTCCTCAAGAAGGGAATCAGGATACAGGGCATGTCCCCTCCCGTACCCGAGGGCTCCCGGGATTTCCCACACCCTCCATGGCTCACGTCCGTCAGTCCATCTTTCGCCGGCTGGGCTGGAGGCGGCGCAAGGCCGGGAGATCCCAGCAGTTCCGCTCAATGACCTGCCAGCTCAGGTCTTTTCCGCCGGACAAGGGACACATTTTTCCCTGGGGAAGCCCTAGGTCTCCCGGTCCCTGCCCCATTTTATTGTTAGGTACCAGAAAGTTCACCAAGTTAAAGTGCAATTCAATGTGGTTTGTTTTTAGAAAATTCACAGTTGTGCAACCATCGCTATCGTCTAATTTCACATTTTCATTATTCCCCACAAGAAATGCTGCACCCCTTAGCTGTCACCCCCATTTTAATCCGGCCCCAGCCTCATCCTTGGCTAGCCCATCCACTGTCTGTCTCTACAGACTTTCCCATTCTAGGCATTTCACACGAACGGAATCACCCATTACGTGGCCATGTGTCTGGCTTCCCAGCATAATGCTCTTGAGGTCCGTCCATGTTGCGGCACATGGGTCAGTACTCCGTTCCTTTTCACTGTGGAACAAGGCCTTGTGCGTGGATGTGCCACGTTCTGTTCAGCCATTCACCAGCGGATGGACATCTGGGTGGCTTCCGTTTTGGAGCAATGACCCAGTGCCACTATGCAGACTTGTGCCCCAGTCTCAGTGCATCCCCCACCCCCCCTTTTTCTTGGGTAGAGATGTAGAAGCCGAGTTGTTGGCTCTTATGTTAGTTCTACGTCTAACATTTTGAGGAAATGCCACACTGCTTTCTGAAGGAGCCGTACCATTTCCCACGCCTCCGCGGTTTCCAGTTCCTCCACATCCTTGTCCACACTTGTCCACCTTTCACGGCAGGTCTGATGTGGTTCTGATCTGCGTTTCCCTAATGGTGCCAGGCATCTTTTGCCAGCTTATTGCTCACTTGTGTTTTCTTCCTAGAAATGCCTATTCGAATCCTTTCATTGTTTTATATTAATAAATATTTTTTTTACTTTTTATCTTTTAAGATTTTGCTTTAAGTTTATTTATTTATTTTGAGAGACAGAGAGCACAAGTGGGGGAGGCGCAGAGAGAGGGAGAATCCTGTCAGCGCAGAGCCTGACGAGCAAACTCAAAAAATTGCGAGATCGTGACTTGAGCTGAAATCACCAAAATCAAGAGTCGGATGCTTAACTGACTGAGCCTGCCAGGTGCCCCTAAGACTTAATTTTTAAGTAATCTCTACACCCAACGTGGGGCTGGAACTCATGACCCCAAGATCAAGAGTCACATGCTCTTCCCACTGAGCCAGCCAGGTGCCCCTAATTTTTTTAAACCTTTTATTTATTTTTTATTTTTTTTAAATTTATTTTTGAGACAGAGAGAGAGCACGAGTGGGGGAGGGACAGAGAGAGCACGAGTGGGGGAGGGACAGAGAGAGAGGGAGACACAGAATCCGAAACAGGCTCCAGGCTCTGAGCTGTCAGCACAGAACCCGATGCGGGGCTCGAACCCACGAACCGTGAGATGATGACCTGAGCTGAAGTCGGACGCTTAACCGACGGAGCCACCCAGGCGCCCCTTTTTTAAACCTTTTAAACGAAGGTATTTTTGTCTTTATGACTGAACTATGAAGGTTCTTCACATATTCCAGATACACGTCCCTTATGAGGTAGGACCTGCACTTCCTCCCAGGGTGAGGGCTGTCTGGATTCTGTCCTTTAAAGCACAAAAGCTTGTCAGACTAAAGCCCATATCTTCTTTTTATCGGTTTGCTTTCGGGGTCTACTAAAAATCATCGCCTAAGTTAAGGTCATGAGGACATTTTCCTTTAATCTCCCCTAGGAGTTTTGGTTTTAACTCTTACATTTGGGTCTATGACCCACTTTGAGTTAACGTACATACGTAGTGTGGGGGCTCAAGGCCAAAGCTGTTCTTTTGCACGTGGATACCCAGTTGTACAAACACTACTTGCTGCAGACTGTTCTTTCCACACTGTATTTTCTTGGCCTCTTTGTGGAAAATCGATCGGCCATAAACATTAGGGCTTATTTCTGGACTCCGAATTCAATTCTATTCCATTGATTCTAAATAACTACTTTTAGTAAGCCTCTCTTTTGAGTCCGGAACGGAACACAGGCTAAAAGAGCTCCTCTACCTGAAGTCCCATCCCAGACTGTTCATGCAAGGAGCCAGGTGGGGGGTGATGTCCCCAGGAGCCTATTCTGGGGCAGGTGGCCTGTCAGGCAGGAGAGGGTTCAAAGATGGGAGTGGGGGAGATAAGGAATATGAGAGGGTGTTCTTGCCCCTCCTCACCCCTCCTGGGGCAGCTGTTGTCTGGCCTACTCTCCACATTCCTGCGCAGCCCTGCCCAGAGGCCCCTAGAGTGGAGAGGAAGGGCGAGAAAGAATGTGGGTGCCTTAGAGCGCAGTCAGAAGGAAGCCAGCACCCCCACACACTCCCCACCCTGCCTGCTGGCTCTTCAGCTGCCTGCCTGCCTCTGTACCTCACATTCGCCCGCTTCCCGGGGAAACGCAGCTGAGCTTCCACTCAGGCCAAGGCCAAGGGCAACAGGGCTCAAGATAGCCAGGCTCCTGAGTCCTGGAAAGCACACTTGGAGAAGACGGAGAGGAGGGCAGGCAGATGCCCAGGATCCCTCTTCCGCTGCTGTCTGGGTGGGTTGTGCGGGAAAGGGGGATGAGGATGGTCCCCAAGTCCCCTCCCCCCGAAGGCAGGATCTGCAAATCTGCTGGGATCACGGGAAGGGAAGGCGCCTGGGAAACCTGAGAGGTGAGAATTTCACAAACGGCGCGGCCACTGCAGCTGTGGCCTCTGATCACAGGAAAGGAGACACGCAGGAGGAGGGGCAGGGCGTGCAACACGGGGTACGGGGACAGGCAGCCTCCCTGGTAGAGTCAAACACACTTTATTCAGCACGGGGATGTGTGGACAGAAGGGCCTCCGGCAGGGTTCCTGACAAAGAGCTCTGAGGCAAAGCCTGCTGTAAACAGAGCAAAGGGCGTCCTGTAAACCACGGCCCGGAGGGGAGGGGGCTCTGCACAATGTCGGGGTAGGTCACACTGGCCAGCACACGGTGAAGCGGGGGTGGGTGGCCCATGCCCTGGAGAGTGGTGAGCGGCTCTAAGTATCTCACTCGGAAAAGCCCGAGTAGGAGGGCAGGGGCCTGGCCAATTCAGGGGATTATCTCGACCACTGAGGGCCACGGGGTTCAATTTCGCTGAAGCAGTCTGGGCTGCGGTGCCAACACATGATTACAAGGCCCTGAGAGCCACAGCCCAGCATGGGGCGGGGGGGGGGGGGCAGGTGAGGCAGGAGAGGTGGCCCCTGGGGGGCGCTCACCAGTGGCCTGCAGGGCAGGGCTCTCACAACCACGGGTGCTGTGGCCCTGGCGGTCGCCTCCAATCAGCAAACTGTAAATGGCACCGACCTTCCCTGCCCAGGACCCCACTCCCTTGACTTGGGACCCCAGTGGAAGTAGGGCAGGGCAGTGGAGGGCAGAGCAGGGAAGGTCTGTAGGCAGAACCACCTCTGATGACTACAGCCTTGCCCTCGAGACTCATGATTAGGGGTGGGGAAAGGTCGTGGGGTCTGCACCCAGAAACAACCTCCGTCTGAACCACCTGCCGGAAGGGCGTGCTTGTGGCAGGGCTCGCCACGGCCTGAGCAGCAGCCGCCAGCCACAGCCGGCAGCCAGGACCTCGGTTTGGGTCACTCCCTGCCGTGCTGTTACGCTGGGCACAAACAGGAGCAGGGGGAAGGAGGAGGAGAGGGTGCGGGTTAGGGAGTGGTGCTGGGTACCCTAGGACCCTTGGGAGTGACAGGGAGAAGCCATGCACAGCTGGGTCCACCTAAATTCCTGATTAACAACTGCTCTGAAGGCCAGAGGGATAGACAGAGGACAGAAATATCTTCCTGGACCCGCACCCACTAACCCAAGAGTGGGGTGTGTTCAGGAGCACCCCTACCCCCAACCAGTGACTAGAGTGGCAGCAACAGGGGGCTCAAAGTCTGGGCGTGGATGTGAAGCGCTCCTTCCGTGGGCTTTGGGCTCACACGTAAAATGCACAAACTTGATCACCACCAGGGGACAGAGGAGGGGCTGTCTCTGGCTGGACGGAGGGTGGGAGGGCACGGCCGGTGCCCAGGAGGTGTGAGTGACAGCCGGAGCCCAGCTTCCCTCTAGAAAATCACTATGCTACACAGGAAGTTGGTGGTGGCAGGGGACCCAGGGAGGGCTGGATCTATCTAAATGACTCACAGATGGGAGGGCGGCAGGGATGACACAAATGCCCCGAGACCCAGGGGTCACAACCAACAGGCAAGAGGAGCAGAGCTAACCACTGTGGAGGGAGGGGAGGGCAGCCTGTGGCACACGGCCCTACATGGGGCTCATTCGTCAAACTTCCCTTCCCGAATGTGCTCGAAGGAGAAGGGTAGGAACTTGAAACCGGTTCCGCTGTAGAATTTATTCTGGAACTCGACCCTGGGGAAAGGGAAAAAGAAAGTCGTCATTCCACAAAATCCTTTTTGGATTTCACAGTTGGGCTAGAAAGATGCTCTGACCCTCCCTCCCCTCATTTTCCTAGTGGAACTCAGCCTTCTGTTGCCCACCAAGCCTGGCCCCAGCCTGCTTCCCACAGTGCACACAAGCGCCACTTCTGTGGCCGGGCCTGCTCCAGGTGAGAGCACAGTGAGCACAGAACACCTCCGCCCTGGTTCGTCCTCAGTTCCCGCTCTGTCCTGCTGAGCAAGCGTGTGTACGCACAACTCTGTCTAGCTATGTGCTAAATGATTGGCTTGGGCCTCTAATGACAATGAGGAAGAGTTCCCCAAACACCACTCCTGGTAGGGGCCCCAAGCAGAGCTCTCTGGGAAGCCCCGGGGCGGCAGGGAGCTCAGTGCCAGGAGCTCTGGCAAGCACCCTTGTTTTCTAGTTTGTGTCTTTTCTTGTTGGAGGAAGGAGGAGGGAGGGTGGCAAGTAAACCCTGGATGATGAGTGCTTTAGAGGAGGAAATTCCCAGGAAAGGGGGGGTGGGATCAGTAAGGGAAGTCTTCTCTAAGCAACGGCAAAAATAGTCTCCAACTACAAAAACATCTGAGAACGAATTCTTCTCTCAGGGGCTGAAAGGAAAAGCAGAGCTTCACCTCCCTTCCCAGGCAGTTCGCATCCATCCCTGATGGTCTCCCTGGGGCCCCTTCAAACTCTGAGGGGCAGGAAGACTGAGCTCCAGGAAGCAGAGCCAGGCTCGGCCTGTGCCTCCCCCTGCACACTCCCTGGATGGCTGCCCAGCAACCAAACCACCACCAAATATGGGCAGAAAAATGCATGATTCAGAGGACAAAAAAGCCAAGGAGAGCTGCCCTGAGGAATAGTTTCCACTCAGTGCAGTGTGCCCCTGGGGGCACCAGAACCCTGGCAAGGACAGGCGGTGCTGGGGGCGGGGTTGGGGGCGGGCTTCAGGCAAGGGATCAGGTGCAGGGCGGGGCTTCATCCTGCTTCCAAAGTGGGGGAGACAGGGACAGGGAGAATGGGCAGGGGGCCTGCGCATTGGAAGGGCTATCTGCTTCAGGAAGACTGTCTGTGGTGGCGCTTGGAGGTCCTCAGAGACCCCATCGGCCCTGGGGTGCCGGCTGCAGACACTGGAGCTGCCAGCCCCACCCACTGGGGACAAGAGGTGAACAGAATTTCCTGCGTGGGTGTAAGAACAGGCGGCCTTCTCCTCCCAGCCCCACATTCCAGGGGCTGAGCTGAGGTCCCAAAGCCTCCCAGACTCCGGAGGATTCCCTGGGCCAAGCCCCTGAGGGAAAAAGGATCTGGGGTAGGGGGGCTGCAAACTGCAGTCAGTCCAGGATTCCTGGCAAGACCAATTCCAAACCAGGATGTGGACTCATCCCCAGATCCCAACACCCGGAGAAGTCCTACAAGCTACAGCTACTCAGGCCTCTGTTGTGGGAATTGGGTCGGTTCCTGCTTCCCACCCGCTGCTGTTGTGCCTCATTGCTTCGGCTTCAAATGATTCGTGCCAGGTAGGCTGTTTGCCTATGGCAAGGGCATTTCTGAACAGCTAAAAACAGACTCACATCCCGTTTGCATTCAACGATATGTAGCCAGATGGTGGGCAAGTCACCTTAGGGTCTGCAAGGAGCCTGGGACTCTGGCCCCCTGGCTGGCTAGTCACACACACAATTCAAATTCCAAACTGGACGAATGAAGTAGAAGCTTCAGAAATTTTCAGATGCCCACGGGATCACCATCCTTCTCTTGGCATTCCTCTGCGTGCCTCATCTACCCATGAGGCCCAGTGGGAAGGAAGGGGGATACGTGTCCAGGGCCATCTGGGCATCTCTGGGTCAGCCTGACTTCACCTCCCTGCTCAGCCTCGCTCACCCCATCCTCCCAGAACAAAGCTGGAAAGCAATCTCCCTATCGGGCTCCCTGCCCTCCTCTCCCTCCCAACCAGGGAAATGTGTGCTTCCTGAGAAAGTACAAACATGAAGTTCTTTGTGCTGGGGCCCACAGGGCCCTGCTGGCTGTCCTGCAAGTCCCTCCTATTTTGGGGGCCTGCTACACTACTCAGGGAGCCTCCAGGGCCCCAAGTCACTGAAACGTACCTCTAGACTCCCACAGTTGTGAGGAGGGACTCAGGAAGCCGGATGGGTTTCTGCGTCACCCCTTTCAGCTCCAGGACCTGGCAAAGGCCACCCAGTGACCCAGAAGGGTACATGGGAGTCCACAGAGTGCTCATTCCTGCCACGTAACAGGAAACCTTGTTTCCTTGAGTGAGGGAAGGGGGAAGGAGTCCCGGGCCTCCTCCCTCTCCCTGGTGGGGTTGTGGCTGAAAAGAAGCAGTTTTAGAAAGGGGATTCTGGGCCGAGCTGCTTTGCTGGCCCTTTCTGCCACTCTCTGAGCAGTCCGGGACCTGGCGCGCACATCTGTCTGATGGCCCAAATGTCAGGGCAATAGTGGCAGCCAGGTACCATGCTTCAGGCGGTCCTGCTTCTCCTGGGCCGGCCACTCCCGCCGCGTCCCCGGTGTCCTGCTGTGGAGCCACTACGCTCCTACAGCAACTTGCTCCCCATTTGCCTTTGGCCTGCAACCAATCTGAGAGTGTGCAAGTGTGCACATCTGTATGTATGTGGAATTTGCTAGACAAGAAGGGATTAGGTTCCTGAAGGTGGGCCACAGGGCAACGGTCTTTCTACTAAAGTCAGTTTGGTGTGCACGGTTGCAACTACAAATCATACTCCCTTGCCTTTGCCTTTTCTGAGAAAGAAGAAACAGCTAATTACAACACACAAAACCAGATGCGTAGTGCAGGGAGGCAACCGAATTAGGTTGGTACAGTGACCTGTTCACTAATGTTTTCAAATACATCACCCACCTTCTTAGGACCCTACACGAATCTCAGACTAGTGATTAATGTTTGTTACCAAAGCGGATGTTGTTTTTCTTGTCCCCACTGAAGACTTCCAAACCTGTAAAATGGGTAGCCCTTACATCAGAATCAGGAAACCCCAGCTGACAACCAGGGGTAAAGTGACAGGTTTGAAGATGCCCAGGTTGGACACCAGGAAAAACAGCAGTGATGTCCCTGCGGCCATTTTCAGCAGGACCAGCTGTCCCCAGCCTCACAAGATGGCCACAACTCAGAATTCCTGCAGCCTTGGAGGACGAGATGCCCCGGAAACCCTCGCGGCACATCCACATTCGGCCAGAAGGGGGAGCACGAGCACTTGGTTCATTCACCCCCTTTTACTTCGGGAGATTCTCCAAACAAGCCTCCAACACGGGATTCTGAAAGCCTTACAAAGGAGGTTTGCTGTTTGGTCTTTTTCCTCCTCTATGAGATCCTTCCACTACGCAAACAAGCCCACAAGTGTGTTGATGAGCCTGTTCTTGAAAACTACAGGCATTCGGATGTGTTTCACCCTGGGGTGGCCCCTCTCTCTAAACAGACTTAAAGCAGTTTCTTCACAAGGGACCACGGCCAAGATGCCCTCTCCACAGGGCAGCCCACTTTTAAGCAGGGTGGCTGTGACCTGCACTTGAACACCAGTTTATGATGTGTCTGGGCACAGTGACAGTCGCTTGGTATGTGCATTAATTTCATGATTATCATGGTGACCATGGCACACGGATACTCTCTTCTCTGCACATGAGGAAATGTGAGGTTCAGGGAGGTGAGTGCTCTCCTCAGGGTCACCCAGCCAGTGCCAGCAGAACTGGAATTCAAACCCAGTGGCACTTAATTCTGAATGAAGCCTGCTCTCTCATCACTCCTCAGGTCCTTGGGCTCATTCATGAGGACAAGGGAAAACACCATCACCTGAAGGCCACAGGTGAGCCCGAGGAAGAAATAATCCTTCTGGCAACAAAACATGACCTTCCAAGCTGCCTCAGCTCACTCTGGAAAGCAGGCCCAAGCCCAGCTGACCTTCCTCACACCGTGGTATGCCCGGCTCACTGCTTTGACGGTGCTGGGTCAGAACCGTGACTGCTCCCCCGCCCGCCCAGGGAGGAGGCAACAGGCTCCCCACTTGGGCTGGAATTCAGGTGGGGTAGTAACCGGCCCTCCAGCCCGGGGCTCAGGAGACAGAGAAGTGGCCGGAAAGGAAGGAAGAAACAGTGAGTCACCGCAGGCCGGCTACACAGACATTCCCTCATACCGAGCGGCTGAGGAAGTGTGCTGGGGAGAGAGAGCGCTGATAAGCCGAGAAGGGGTGGCGTGCCAGCAGCCTGAGCCATGCGGCACTCCTAGCCTCCTGGCTGGACAAGTAAATAAACAACAGCTGGGTGGGGAGGAGGGCGGCGGGGAGGAGGGATGCCAGCCAGGGAAAGAATATTGACCGACACAGCAGGACAGGCTCTTTAAAAGGAGCTTTTGAGGGAAGAGTAAGTCCCAGCCCCGGCCTGCCCTTACATGCCTCACAGTCCACTCTGTCATTTAGAACAGCAGACAGAAGAATCTTTGAGGGGGCTCAGCATAACCAAGTCAGGAGAAAAATCAACGTAAAGGGGAGTGGGGAAGACGATCCTTGGGTTCAGGTGTAGAAAGCTGATGTAAAGAGACATTCCACACCCTCTCTGTTTGAGATCATTAGCACCACAGGCTGTCTAGTCTATGGGTTTCTAATGTAGGCTCAGTGAGTTTGTGACTCCCCCGCCAAATGGGTAAAACTACTGTGAGAGGTGCTTCTCTAGGGAGAGGGCCCAGAGCTTCCAGAACTTTAAGTAGGGACTCCAGAGAGAGTACTAGATGCCTAGTTTTTAGTATGAGTATGTCTCATATCCATGTCCCAATGCAAATTCATTGTGTATCTGAAATTCAAATTTAACTGCGTATCCCAGAATTTTATTCACTAAATCTGGTAACACTACCTTGAGGTCACAGGATCACTGCCTGGACTAAGACCCCAGCTCTCCCACTCCCTGGGGCTGAGCTGGCTCTTTTCACGCAGAGCCATTAAGAGCCACAAACTACATTAAAGAAAGTGAACAAAGCCTGCCCTTGTTAAGTGGCTGCTTTAGTGAACTGAGTCCACACTATGGAACCAGGAATCCCCCTGGCCGTAGGGGACCACCCCAAAGACACTGGCGCAATGACAGAACACAGGGGACAAAACTGGGGTATAATGTGCTCTAGCACTTTCCTGGACCGTGAATCTATTCCATCACTCTGAAGACAGGAGAAAGTTTATGCCAGAGCAGGGAAATTAAAAAAAAAACAACCGCAAAAACCCAACCCCAACCAAACCAACAACCTCAGCAGGTCTTGTAAGCCATACTCAAGAGCAACGAAGAATAGCAAAGGCAGGGAGAAGGAATCTAACACCCACCAGAGAATTTCCCTCGGGGGCTCTGAAAAGTGAGCTGTGCTTTTCTGTGGACACTTCCTGATGCTCACTCCTAACATAGGTCATTGGGCATAAGGACGTGAATGAGAGCAGACACTTCCGAGTGTCTCTGGATTCTGCACAAGAGTAAAGCCGCCCTCAGGGTAGCTAAGGACGCGTCCCCACCCCCGAACTCGCTGCTCCTCACCAGTGTAACCGCAGTGCGTGGAGGAAGGCCGAGAGGCCCTCCATGATCAGGAGGATGGCCACGGTCAGGGTGGCAAAGGCAGCGAAAATGAAGAACAGCGCAAAACCTCCGGCCAAGCTCTTCACGCTGAGGCCGATGTGGATCACCATGGTCCAAAGCACCTCAGACAGCTCTGGGGAATGCAGAGAGACAGGACATCCGGTTCAGTTTGGCAAGAGGTGCTGTGGGCCTTGCCATTTGCTCCACCCTCCCTCACCTGAAGTGTCTGCAGCCCCACGGCTTCCCGCAACCTTGGTGGGACCACGGTGCACAGCTAATCTGGCAAAAAAGCTGGTCCTCTCATCTGGACATCTTTCTCCTGGGACTCAGGAGTCTGCACCTTTATTTCAACTCTATTTAAGCTCCACATCCGAGAGAGTGCCCAGAGAAGGGGAAAACCTAATTTTCAACCTGAGAGAAACACACTCACGTGCATGAGCGAGGCTGAGGGCCCAGAGCCGCAAGTAAGAGGCGGTATTGGAGATGCAGCCCAGGCAGTACTCGATGGTGTGGATGGCCTGGTGGACCATGGTGTCCCCAAAGTCAAACTGTCGTGGGAGAAAACCGGAGAGAGGATGTAAGGCTGGGAGGGGATGTGCAGAAGGTGTTGTGGCCACTTGGCACTTTGGGCCTGGGCCCCAGCACTAAAAGCTACATGAGCCAAGAATTCCCAGCATTGAATTCAGGTGGTGTTTTCATGGTGTCCCCAGGAATCCTGTCTGGCTTAGCCCCCCAGCTGGGTGCCCCATTTCCCTTAATATGCTACATTTCAATGGCCTGCATCTTAACAAGATTCTTTTCAACTCATTTGTTTTTTCTCCTTGCTAGGCTGTAAGCTCCAGAGTGGAATGTAGGCCGAGTTAAGAGCACGCAGGGAAATGGACTGTCTGGACCTAGGACGCTTCCGGCCCTGCTCCAGCCCTGCTCCAGCTGCTTCCTCTTTATGGTGCCCGAGTGAAGTGCTTATCCTAACAGCCGTGCGAGCAGGACGGCCTCTTCCCAGGCTATGCTTTAGGCGATGGGCTCTCAGGCCGGGAGCTGCCGAGGCAGGACTAAGCCCCCACAGCCACTTCACTTTTTATTCTTATCATTTGTTGGGAGCAAGATAACCTCCTTTTTCTTTTGTGCTTCTGAAAAGATGACACAGGAAAATTCTGGCACAAGTTTTACAAAATCCTACAGTTGACTCAGACCAGACAGAACGTTTATTGTGTTTTTTGTTTCTGTTCTTCTCACGCTCCCTTTCTCCCAGCCTTCCTTTCAACATCAAAAATTGTTTCCAGAGTAAAGGGGTAGGGCTGGAGCAAGCTTTCAGGAGTTCATTTGTAGGCCCGCTCCAAGCACAGCCAGGGAAAAATTACTGGTATGCTCTAGAAGCACCAGGCATATTTCCAGGCCTCTCCCTTGGCCAGTGGAGCCATCCATCGGCCAGAGAGCAGGAGGCGGGCCCTTGCCATGCTCCTCCCACAGCCCCGCCCAGAACCCCAGAAGCGTAGGGCCTCCCCTTGCCTTCAGGTCAGAGTTTATTTTTCACCAGATTCTTTCAAGACTCACATGACCCCACTCCCAAAGGACACCAGAAACATCTTGGGAAACTGCAGGACAAGAGGAGGAGCTGGCTGGTAAAGCGCTAACAGCGCAGGCCTCAAGGGTGCAGCCAGTGGGGAGAGGGGCTGTCTCCAACACGCCACCTTTGGGGACTGCCTCGGTTTCCCTCACCTCTGACCATCTATACTGAGTATTTCTGAGCTTTTCTTCTGCAATAGGTTCTTCAAACCTCCTAGTTACTCTGAAAACGAGGGCAATCCTAGCAATGCCACTAAGAGCTCTTTCCTACCACTGCTGGCTGTCACCCGGAGCCCATGCTCAGAGGAAGAAAAGCACTGGTCTCTGCTCCTAAGAGCTCTATGAAAGTAGGCGCTGTCAGGCTTCCTTAGAGCCAGCCGCCTGTCAGCAGTTTTACTCTCCCCGGAGCTCTGCCCACAAGAATGGAGAACAAGGAGAGAGCCTCTCTTTTAGACCTTGGGCAAGTTTTCATTTCTATACAATGAGGGGCAATGATGGTGAAGTGAGGATTCAGTGAGAAATGCAGCCAGACACTCAGGAGCCTGTCACTGCCTCCTCAGGGGTCGGCGGTGACTGAGGAGGGATCACTACAGACTCCCTGTCTACACCCCACTGGCACGGCCCACCCACTACTCCCCTCCTGCACCCTGCCCTCCACCCTCTCTGCCCCGCACACCTGACCTTCCTGGCGCCCTCTCCCTTGCCTCCCGGTTGGAGGTCTAACAGACCTGTGTCCTGACTCAACCTCTGCGGTCTCTGCCACTGTCGCCTTTTCGTCCTCCCTCGAGACACTCTCCTCCCCTCAGTTCCTCCCCCCCCCGCCGCCCAGGCGTTTCTTGGTTCTTCTTGGCCCATCTTGGTTCTTCCCTAAATGCTGGAGGGTCAGCCTCAGCTCTTACACCTTTCCTGCAGCACTGCCACTCAGGGCTTCGACGGGCATCCCTAGGAGGGACTCCAAGATGGACGCCTTCATCTCCGTGTTGCCTATTTCCAACTGGCCGTGCCACATCTCTTCCTAGTGCACCATGGGGACTTCCAATGCAGTGCCACCCAGACTAACTGCCCTTCTCTGACCCCACCAAGACTTGCTTCTACTCCGCGCCCCATGTTTGACGGAGGGTTACCACTAGGGCCGCAGGCACCTGAATCCTCACTCACTCTCACTGCCAACAGACATTAAGGCCGTGGGACCTGTAGCTCTTCCTTAATCTCGTTATCGGTCCCTCCCTTTCCAACTCCCTGCAAACACCTCACTTCACTGGGGGCTTCCCAACTGTTTCGTGACTCCTATTAGACTAGCTGGTCTCCATGGCTCCAGACGGTGACCCCTCCCCAATCCACTAACTCCCATGACACCCCCACTGGAGCATTTCAGCAATGTACATCTGCTGTGGCACGTCCAGCTTCCCCGTCCCCTGATGGCTCCTTGTTATCCACTCTACTGTGGCTTGTTTCTGCCACCTCCAGGCTCACCTCTCACTGGTCTCCGACTCCTGGCTCTGAGCTCCAGCCAAGTTATGTTCTTGCCTATCCCCAAAATGTGACGGACCCATGGGCCTGTGTCTTTAAGATAACTACACACACTGATGGGTCTGCTTCCCCCCCCCCACCCCCCACCCCGGGGCTCCTGCTTGACCAGACTAAGCTTAGCAACAATTTCCTTAGGGAATCATTTCCTGGTCTCCTCTTCTCCACCCCCACCCCAGCGCTTGTCAGGTGCCCTCTTTCTGTGTTCCCACAGCATCCTGGGCACACCTTAGTCACACCACCTGTCACCCAGACTGTTTCCTCAATTTGTCTGGGAGTTCCTTGAAGGCAAGGACTGTTTTTCTTCTCGCAGTTTTTGTAGTACCAAACAGAGTGATTGGCACATAGCGGGTGAATAAATGAATGGATAGGATAAAAGAATGGATGGATGGGTGGGTAGGATGAATGAACGGATAGATGGGTGGGTGGATGGGTGGGATGAATACATCTGGTGAGATGACACAGTAGGGAGAGGGGCCACTGACCTTTGCTGACTGGTTACAGCCTTTAAAGATTTCCCAGAGACTCAACTGGCCTGGCTCTGGTTTGCAACTGGACTGAGGGCTTCCCAGGGAAAGGGACTGCTGCTTTTAGCCGGCTGGAATAATGGCCTGCATGGGGCAGATGGGTTTCCACAGCCAAGCAAAAAGGGGAAGCTCTAGAAGAACTTCCAGGCTGGGATGAAAAAAAAAAAAGGTTTGAAATCTTTAGATAATTCTAACTCTATCTAAATCTGGCTGTGGAGAACTACACTGCCCATGTGCCTGATAAGATGTCATCATTATTTAGGAAGCCAGGGGAAGCTGAACCCCTGAGGGAGCTAGGGGGCCAGAGACTCAGGAGGCTGAATCACAGTCCAGCCAGCGTGGATGTCCATCGCCCCTGGGGCATGGCTACAAATGACGACTGTTCTGGCAATGACCATGGTAGTGGGTGCTCAACTAGGAAGACACTTAGGAAGAGCAGTATTGCTGGAGGTCGTGCTACTGGGAGAGGGCAGGGCTCCTCACTACCACGGAACACACTCCCTGCCGGCAGCCCGGGCAGCCCCACCACTGGCCCTGTGCACACGAGTAGTCCAGGTGAACCCGAGGCTCCTGCAGGCTGCAGAAGAGGCTCTCCGGCCTTCAGGAAGACCGAGCGCTGCCCGTTGTTTTCACAGGGTCAGCAAAGGTTTTCCCATTCCCATCCTACCGCCCTTTAAGAGAGGACCAGGAGAGCCAGGAAAGGGGAGGGCTCATGGGTCCAGATATTTTAGAGAAAAGTTTTGGGGGAAGATGCAAACAGTGCAGCAAGGCCTTTAAAAAACCCAATTTAAAATGTGTGTATTGCTAAATGAATCACTGTTGAGCTCAAAGGCCCTTCTACTCCAAATGTGGCCTGAATAGCCTGCTTTGTTTCTATTCTCTGATATTAATATGAACTCCTTTCACGCAGTTGGGGTTGTTTTTTCTGGGATGTATCGGAGAAGCAAAGCCTCCTTTTGAAAGCTGCCTATCTCCCAGCTGGGTCACAGGGAGGTACAACCGACCCCAAGCGAGGGTCTAGCAATTCTCACTTCAAGTACCATCAAGCTGATGAGGACAGTAGGAAGAGGTTGGCTGCATCTCAGACAGGGAGGAAGGGTGAGCTTTACTCACAAGCTCTCAGAGCAGCAAGGAGGAAACAGCTACTCCCAGCGGCAGAGCGACCATACCATACATAACATCACAGGAGAGGAAGGCAAAGACCAATGGGATTTGACCCCCAAGGGGGCCACTTCAAGAATGCCAATGCAGACATTACTTGTAGCTCCTTTCAAAGCCATTCTCAGAGGTATTAGATCAGCAAAGTCAATGAAACAAAGACAGGTGACCGACATGAGATGCAGTTAATGGAGATGGACTTTTTGAGAACACAGGTGCACGAACTGGTTAGAAATGGCCAGTGAGACGCAGGATGCACAGGTGTCACGTGTGGCCCCGGGTTGCGGCAGGGTCAGCAGAGTGATCACAAGGATGGGAAGAGAAGCCCCAGATAAACATGAAGGCAAAGCCAGCTTATTTCTTACCACTTCGTCCTCGGTAGGCTTGAAAACACAAATTTACACTTAGTGGGAAGCCATGCCACACAAGGTCACAAGTCACGAGCACAAGGTTATGGACTGTTTCTCGGGGAAGATCGTTAACGTTAAATGGGTCTAACGTGCTGGAGGCGGGCATGCTCAGCATACAGAGAGCGAAACCAGCAGGGCTTAGAGCATGAAGATACGTATTGTTTTTAAAGGCACCCCAACCCTTGCAATTTCTTTTTACAAACGTCATACACACAGGGGAAGTGGTTAGACTGAAAAGTTCAGTCACCTGGGTCCTCCACTCCTATTCTATTTGCTTTAAAAAGAACACAATAAGGAAAAAAAAGAGAATATAATAAATAGATGACATTCCAAAGTTCAGTTCACAGGTTCTGTGGCATGAGGGGTCAAGGCAAGGAGACTAGATTTTAAAAAGCAGCTTAGAGGTGGTGGTGTAAGGAAAAGTCTAATGTGACCTTACTGCTTTTCACCCTCCCTGTAAAAAGCAGGTAACATTTTCAAAACCTCCAATAATATATCTGCCACAGAGAGCAAACTGGCGGGACAAGACTTTATAGGACCAGCGATTACAGTTCCAACTGGAGCCATTTCTGGACGGGGCAAGGGATGCCCTATGGGGGCTGTGTTTCTGGTAATAAGAGCTGGAAGCCGGGGCCTCCGCTGCCCTCGGTCCCCGGGAGCACAGTTAATAACCGAGATTTGCGCGCAGAATACTGCAGGCAACTTGGAGTTCAAGTTCGAATCCGGAAGCAAAATTGCTATGGGAGCTGCCGGTGACACCTGGAGCTCGGAGCAGGGCCGCCACCAGAAAAAGGTGTGGTGCCCTAAGAGGCCCCGAAGGCAGGCTGATCATTAGTATTGGTATTTTCATTTTCCAAGAGTGGAGGGAGGCGACCTATACACTTGAGCCTGGGGCTGACCCACAGTAGAAGGCGAGGAAGCCCATGCCACTGGATCTTACCTCTTCTGCGTCCTCTGAATGGGTGGAGAGCTGGTCATGCTGAATAATCTCAGCATCCTCCTCTGTCGGTCCGTTGCCCACCCTGATCCCACCAAAGTTGAGAGTTCCCTACACAGATGAACAGAAAGAGTAGAATTTGCCTGGGCTTTAACGTGACATTCTGTGAGTGGGGAAGGGCGATGGTTAGTATATACAAACCTCAGAAAAGCATATATTCTAACAACAAAATCAAAACCCGCTGATGCAACAGCCAAGTAAAAACAAATCACCGTTCCCACCCCGACCACCACCACCCCGGCCCCAGTCCCCGCTACATTTACCACCTCACTGTGATCAGAGGAAACAGGCAGCCTGCTGCCCCAAGACACACCAAACCTGGCCTTCGTCAACACTGACTGAGATGACTGCGTGAATGAAAAGCTTAACATGAATGGACTCTTACAATGAGTGTAGTTCTATCTGTAAAGCTGCCAGTGGCCTAAGTTTTTCTACAACTAAAGATCAGACTTTCTAAGAGGGAGCGGAGCCAAATGACATGGTGACTGTAACCTGGTCTGATAAGCTTTCAACTGGAACCCAAGAGTTCCAGCAACTTCTCCCAGAAGCGTACTGGGTCTCTGCCCAGAAGCAAAGGACTTCCTAGATCAGGGAAGGGAGAAAAGCTCAATGGACATCAGCTTTTGGCTAGAGAATATGGAGTCAAAAAAAAAAAAAAAGAAAAAAGAAAAAAGAAATGAAAAAGGCCCCTTTCCTTCAATGGAGGATTCTGGAGTGTTAAAACAACTCTCTTACAGGCATGTGGGCACATGCCGACTGGGTGTTTGCTTCTTCTCGTTTCCCAGGCATAGCCTTCAGCGGGCTCTCCAGAAACAGAATTTCTAAGTCAACTTGACTTGGAAAAGCTCGGGCTTATTGAAGCAAAAGGACTCTTTGAGGACAAAACCGGGCAGAACTGAGGTTAAGTCAGACAAATACCAATGAGCGCTAACTTGCCAGAGCGAACGGGGGCTAAAGAAACAGCCACTAGGCCCACTGCTTATGGTTTCTGATCAGGGAGCCCAAACGAGGCAAGAGTTCAAGAACTTTTCTCCTGCAAATTAGCCTTCTGGGCAGCAGCACAATGTGCCAACAGGTTTGCTCAACTGCCCTGACGTCCCCACTCGCAGCTTCACCTATCGGTGTGCACCTTTTACCACAGATGACTGACCACTAGAACTCAGGGTCTGGGCAAATTCTCTCTCTCCTTGAAGTAGGGGTTCTCCTGTGCTGGCCAGAGAACCAGCTGCATCAGAATCACCTTGAAATTAAACAGAGATTCTCAAATACCACCCCCGGATATAGTACAGTTAGTAGATCTGGGGTGGGGCCCAGAAAATCTATATTTAAAAAATGTTTCTCGACACACAAGCTGTAAAAGCACTTTTGTTGTCTATCAAAATTGAAAATGCAAGCACAAAAAACCCCCGCAAGTACCCTTTTGAGACTCCCACTGCTGGGAACATCTATGTTTATGAAATTTTATCAAGGTACCTGGACAAGGATGCTCCCTGCATTTGTATTTATACTAGCAAAGAACTGGGAAAAACCAACACATCCATCAATGACAGTGATTATACAATCGTAGCATATCCAACAGAATGTTCTAGGGAATATTAGACAACTATTAAAAAGAGTGAAACAATCTCCCAGGATACACTAAAAAATTTTTAAACTTAATAAATCAAGGGGCAAAAGAGTGCTACAGTTTAAAACACAATTCCTAGTATGTTTTAAAGCTGTATACATATACATATACAAACACATATACATATTTATACCAATAGATGATAGCAATATGCTGATATATTCAGAAAAAAACTGGAAGCGAAATTCCCCTGCCTGTGAGTAGGAGAAGGGGTCCGGGGACAGGGGCACTTTCTCTTTTAGTACTATATGCCTTTTCTAACCTATTACTTTAGTTTTGCTTTTTAATGTCAGTAGAGGATTGTCTGGGTCATGGAACTGTGGACTGTATTACTTTTTCTGCTTCTTCTGTTTTAATACTCTAAGAAGCAAATTTAAAGGTTACCAGGTGATTCTGATGTGTACTCAGATTCGGGAAGCACCGAGACCCTGGGCACTTCCAGGTCATGTGAACACCACATGTGACAGCCCTCGGCAGTGGACTGGAAGTAGAACAAGGGCACTGGTGACGGGAGAGGACCCCAACATTCCCTGGCAGGAGTTGCAGGGTTGAGGCAGGCTTCAGGCTTTAAAATTCTTAAAGCAGAAGGTCATTTCTGAAGCTTTTCTCCAACCAGCAGATAGAGTGAGGGGCAGACAGGGTAAACCCCCCAGACACTAGCAATTGTTCCTTCAGGACACAGGACGTGAAAGTTACGCGAAGGGGGGGATGAGACATACATGTCAGCAGAAAAAAGAAAACATTAAACCATGATACACTGCTTACGGACAAAGAACAGAACAAACACAGATCAGTGATTGTATCCTCAGCCCTTATGGTCAAGAATCCACAGCCCTTGTTGTGAAATGATCATCTGGAAGCTTTCAGGCGACTCTATAGAACCAGATGTTTCGCTGAAGAACCAGTGGGCTAAGAAGACTCTATGGATGTGTAGGTTTCCAGACAGGGGACGTTTCACTTGGACAATATCGGAGAAGAGAACAGAATTAAAAGCACCAAAACTGATGCATCAGAAGCACGTCTTAAATATGCTAAGGCTAACAGAAGGAAGAGCAAATGGAAAGAAAGTCAATATGTAGATAGTATGTGGTTTGTGAATTTAAAAAATTTCTCAAAGGAAAGGAGAGAGTAAATCCGTTTGAAAGTAATTTTAAACAGTAACATTAAACTATCTTCTGATCCAAAATATCAGCCCTTTTAGATTAGTTTTAGGAGGATTACAGCAGTCTTCTAGGTTTAAAATGATCAGAAACACCTAATGAAGGAAAGAGGTATCCATCTAAATATTTCATTTTCTTGTAAAGGAGTATGATGCCGCTAGATCATAATACTACATGTATGATTACTGCTGGTGAGATTTTTAGAATCTTACTGATTACCTAGAATAGATTGGGTTAAGTTGATATTAACACTTAAAACGGTTTGGTTAAGAGATGTTTTTCAGGACAAATACTGAAATACTTAACATTCAAAGTGCTGTTGCTGAATCATAAGTTTGTATTTGAAGAAGGAAAATTGAAACAGATGATTTTGGTTGTTGTGCCAGAGGCAGAAGATACACGAGACACACAGCAGAGTGGAGGTCACAATGGAACAGCTGAGGACATGAGGGCTTCTGAGTCTCTCACAAAAAAGTAGACATGCATAAGCTCCCACTGGCAGGAGAGAAAGTCAAAGCTAAAATGGATCAAATGTCCAAGCACCACTCCAAAGCAGAAGTTGAAAGAGCAGGGAGATAATTCCAGGATCACAGAAATGTTCTTGCTCCATGCAGAAAAATCATCTAATACATGGTAACAAAATACAGACATGAAAATGGATGAGTCCAAGAGCTGCCATCTTGGATTAAGACGATGGGATTCTGAGTGGGGTACAACAGCCACTTTCCTTCCACAGACATGACTGTACTTACAAATCTGAATAGAAACTTAGTGACCAATGATAAAGATGATATCAGAATCTACTCATAAGAGGTAGAAGTCTTTTCTATCATTGTCTCAATGCGTTAAAAGGACGTACTTCCCAAGAGCACGCATGTCCCACGCTCTCAATATAATTGAAAAGAGTTCTGCTGCACTGTTTGCCGCCTCTTTACACAAAATGTGATGATTTGTCAGTTTTAATTCACTCACTGTTGCAGCCGCTGCTGCCTCTAATCCCTGCTGGCTCGGGGTTGGGCTGACTGGGGCCTCCACAGGCTGCCCTTCCTGATAGTGAATGGAAGAGAAGAGGAAGGGAGGAAGAAACAAAAGAGGGAGGGAGGGAGGGGGGAGACGAATGGAGGGTACATGGAAGGATGAAGATGGTCAGAAAAGGGAGAAGGAGGGTCTTGTAACTCAGCTGCTCTCCAACAGGAATAATAATCTAACAGCGTATGAGAGTCATGCAATAAGGTCTTTTGGGTTTTACTAGGCAGTGTAATAAGTCATCATTATTGCATTGACAGAAATGAAAATTTGGCAAGTGTGTGTGTGTGTGTGTGTGTGTGTGTGTAGAATGCATAAGCACATGTACATTAAGTAAACACAAGTTTATGTGCTGCATTAAAAAAAAAAAAATCAATGCACTTTAAACAAAATCTTTTTCCCAGATGTCTCGGTTGGTGAAAGTGTCATCGTCTCATTTTAAACAAAAATGTCTCTGCGTCAGCCCTGTGGCTGCCCAGGCAAACCACATGCGTGGGTTCGCCCACCTGCAGCTCTTGTGGCCCTGATCTGGCTGAGGCTGCATCCACACAGGCCCAGACCTGGATTTTGCTGAGCACAGCATGAAAAAAGCATGACCAGGAAAAGTAAAAACTTATGACTTGTTGCCTGTACCTAAGCTACTCAAAGCTGAATCCAGATGCTTGAGCAGCAAATACATGGGTTTAAAAAAAGGTTTTTTATCATCAGGTCCAGTGTACATGCTGGGATATGACACAAGAACATTTTCAGAGGGTACAGACTTATGCACAATTCGTTATATCTGATGAGGAATTGCCTTGATCTCAAGGGGGAAAAAATCTAGTATCTTTCAGCAACAAAAATACACCCACCAAATGCTTCCTCCTCAAATACTGATGGCGAAGGACCAGTGGTTTAAATAGTAGCATCCAAGGTACACACAGTAGCGCAACCACCACCAGGAAACACTGAATTCCTTTCTACAAAGTAAGGACAAGGCACATCACGTTAATCAAACACGAAGTTTCCAACTCCAGCACACATTTCTCCCAAAACAGCATTTTCTTATTGATTTACAAATGATACCATCCAGTTTCTCAAACTAATTAGCAGATATTGTGGCCAACCCCACGAATGTCTGATAGGATGCTAAGGAGGATGGGCTGAATTTAGGTCTGAAGGTATGGGCTGAACACCAACACCACAGAAAGAAATTTTTAAAGGCTTTTTCAGATATCTGGCTTCCTGGAGCACCCGGGTGGCTCAGTCAGTTGAGTGTCCCACTTTGACTCAGGTTATGATCTCACAGTTTGTGAGATCCAGCCCTGCATCAGGCTCTCTGACGTCGGCACAGAGCCCACTTCGATCCTCTGTCCCTCTCTCTCAGTACCTCCCCCACTTGTGCACACATGCTCTCTCTCTAAAAAATAAATAAACATTAAAAAAGAAAAGAAAGGAAAAGAGAAGAAAAGAAAAAAATATCTGGCTTCCTGACCAGGGTAACCACATAATGGTAACAACCTAAGCCAGTCTACCTCTGGGTTGACGCACCTGTCCAGAATACAGCATCGAATTACTAGAGTCACCGTAGGAAAAGAGAAACATGTTTATGAAATGGATCAGAAGGCTTGGTGCTTTCTCAGATGTATGAGCATCATAGGCTGTCCACTTGTAAAATATAAGGATAACCAAGTAGCCAAACAAAGAGGTCATGAAGATTATTTCAGGAATAAATCCAAAATAGATATTCAGGGGCTTCTTGAAATAGCTAAAAAGAGAGAAAAAAAATGTTAAAGGTGAACAGACCCAGGGGCGCCTGGCTGGCTCAGTCGGAGCTCAGACTCTTGATCTCAAGGTCGTGCGTTCAAGTTTCACACTGGATGTAGAGCTTACTTTAGAAACAAATTAAAAATTAAAACCAAAACAAAACAGTGAACAGACCCAGGGTCACCCCTAGACCGAATGGAGGACTCACTAGATTTCCTACCTACAGTTCCCTCAATTCTCTCTTTATCACTTTAAGAAGCAACAGCCAGATGCACTGAAGGCAACAGACGCCAGCAGGATTAACGGTGACTTCTAAACTTTTGGACCTTGGACAGTTCCGGTACCACTCCCACCAATTTTTTCCCATCAAAGAGACTGGGACATATAGTACCTTCCTGGAGCACAGTTTATAATTTTATGTGATTACACATCAAGAGAAAAAATACCTCACTCATTTTGATGAAAATGACATAGTTTTCTCAAAGAGCTTTACTACAATTGTAAATTGTTAAGGAACTAATGTTAACTAAGCATCATTTAAGAATGTGAGATTTTTATAAAAGCACTTCTTTAATGCAAAATAGGGTTCTGAGTTATTAATCCTTCCCCAAAGATGTCATGATTTCTTTTGGCGAAAGCATCATCTAAACTATGTGTGTTCCACTGACAGAAACACAGCAACTCACGTATGGTTGAAGAGGCTCAGGCTGACTCCAAACATCATGTGGATGATGCCAAGGATAACAGACGTCTTCATTTTAAAGGAGTTGAGAAAGGTCAGTTTATTGGTAGCAATGTTCCAGATCTATAACCCAAGGAAACAAAAAGTATTACAAAGAGTTATGAATGGGACATTATTATGCACCAATGTTTAAAAATTTTTTAGGGGCTCCTGGGTGGCTCGGTTGGTTGGGTGTCCAACTTCAGCTCAGGTCACGATCTCACTGCTCGTGGGTTCAAGCCCCTCATCTGGCTCTGTGCTGAGAGCTCGGAGCCTGCAGCCTGCTTCAGATTCTATGTCTCCCTCTCTCTGCCCCTCCCCTGCTGGCACTCTGTCTCTTGCTCTCAAAATAAATAATTAAAAAATTTTAAAAAAATTTTTAAAATTTTGAGAGACAGTGCGCGTGTGTGTGCACACACACACACGTGGAGGAGGGGCAGAGAGAAGGAGTGACAGAATCCCAAGCAGGCTCCACACCATCAGCACAGAGCCCAATGTGGGGCTTGAACTTACAAACCATGAGATTATGACCTGAGCAAAGTCGGACGCTTAACTGACTGAGCCACCCAGGTTCTCGGTAAGCATTCATTTTTAAAATATAACATTAACAATGATTCTTTAATATCATGAAACATAGAGTCAGTATTTAAAATTCCCTGATTTTGCCCTGATTTAAAAAAAATAATTCATTTATTCAAAAGTAGGGTCCAGATCAGGTCTCTACATTGATCACTGACATAGCTCTTAAATCTCTCATCTATACATTCTCCCTCCAGCTCCCCTTTTTCATTGCTTACAAAATATTTGAAAAAGTTGGAACATTTATCTTGTAGATGCTCCCCCAGTCTGTTTTTCTGATCACGTACCTGTGATGCTGACATTCCATATATTTTTAAGTATTAGTTGCCTTAGTTTTGTCACCTAGGGCCTGGACATCTGTAATATTTTTCCACAGTTCTCTGCCTCTACTTGGCCAACAGATTGCATTTCCTAAATCACTGACTCTGATGCAGTCACTTCCCTTCTCACAAACCCACCTTGCGCCCCCACGGTCTTCTCTAGGAATAAGTGTAAACTCAGTAGCCTGATAAGCCAGACCTTCCACCAGCTGGCCTGGCATTTTTTTCTGAACTGACCTCCTTGCGAGGAGCTCATCCTCGGTGACTTCTAACTTCAAAACTTGTGGCTGGTTCTCTCTCCAGCCCTACTGTCCCCTGAAATTCAGTTCTACAGCTCCAACTGCCTGAGGAATGCTTTATCTGTGCATCCAACAGGCACGTCAAACTCAACATCTACCCTTAAGTGTCAAATGAGATGCACGCAAAACAACATCAACAACAACAGAACACTCTGTTAACTACAGAACACTATATAAATGTTACCTAATATTTTTATTAGACTCTAAGCTACTTGAGGACAGGAACTACATCTTACAATCCTGTGTTTCCCCCAGCAAGCACTATGCCTGCAGACAAGGATTCAGTAAATATTTGTTAAATGGATATGTGAAATGCTTTTGACCTTCTCCAAGCCTTAGTTTTCTTTTCTGTATGATAGGCATAGCAGTATTTCCCTGTTAGAATTGTATGAGGGAAGAGCCCAAGTGTCTGTCGACTGATGAATGGGTAAAGAAGATGTGGTATATACACACACACACACACACATATATATAATGGAGTATTACTGAGCCATCAAAAACAACAGAAGCCAGACACCTGCCATGACGTGGATGGACCAGAGAGTATTATGCTAAGTAAAGTTAGTCAGAAAGACAAATACTATATGATTTCACTGATATGTAGCATTTAGGAAACAAAACAGATGAACATATAGGAAGGGAAGAAAAAAGAGAGAGGGAAGCAAACCGTAAGAGCCTCTTAATGACCGAGAACGAACTGAAGGCTGATGGAGGGAGGTGGGTGGGGGATGGGCTGGATGATAATGGGTATTAAGGAGGGCACTTACCGGGGTGAGCTCTGGGTGTTGTATGTAAGTGATGAATCGTTAAATTCTACTCCTAAAACTATTATCACACTGTATGTTAACTAACTAGAATTTAATAAAAAATTGGAATAAGAAAAAAGAACTGTTGGAGGGGAAATCAGATCTGCCAAGGGCAGAGTCCAGTGCTTGGTCCACAGTAAGTATTTCAGTAACATTTCCTTTCATAATAATAAAAATAAGGGGCGCCTGGGTGGCTCAGTCGGTTGAGTGTCCAACTTCGGCTCGGGTCATGATTTCACGGTTTGTGGGTTCGAGCCCCGTGTCGGGCTCTGTGCCGACAGCTAGCTCAGAGCCTGGGAGCCTGTTTCAGATTCTGTGTCTCCTTCTCTCTCTGATCCTCCCCTGCTCACGCTGTCTCTCTCTCTCTCTCTCTCTTGGAAATAAATAAAACATTAAAAAACAATTTTTAAAAATTTTTTTAAAATAGTAAAAATAAATAACTCTGTATTTCCCCACCTATATGCTTTTGCACACACTTCTCCTCACCTGTAACAATCTGAAATATTAAAAAAAATTTTTTTTTTTTCTGAGAGAGAGAGAGAGAGACAGTGTGAGCAGGGGAGGGTCAGAGAGAGAGGGAGACACAGAATCTGAAACAGGCTCCAGGCTCTGAGCTGGCTGTCAGTACAGAGCCCAATGCAGGCCTCGAAACCACGAACTGGGAGATCATGACCTGAGCTGAAGTCGGACGGTTAACAACCAACTGAGCCACCCAGGTACCCCTGAATTATTTTCTAAAGGCCAAGTTAATACCCATTTTTAATAAGAAACCTTGATCTTTCTGGCCCATAATGATGTATTTTTCCTCTGGATGTTCATTCTTAAATCCCTCCCACCCCCGTTTTAAGCACACAATACAAAAGATTTGATTATACTTTATTTGCATTTTTTTTTTTAATTCTGGGTTAAGGTTTTTAAGCATATAAAGATAAGAATAGAAATCTAAAAATCGATAGGAAAGGACTATTTCTGCTTTGTTAAAATACCTTTTAAACTAAGTTAAACAGAAATAAACTGGAAAGGAGTTTTGAAAAATCAATCATCCCAGGGTCAAAATTATTAGCTGCCTCTGAAACAAGCAGTATAGAAAAATTATTTGGGTCTCCAAGGCACTTGGGTCTCTTACGGTTTGGAAGTACTCTGGACAAATACATAAAGGCTTTCCAAAAAAAAGTCACCTAAAGGGGTGCCTGGGGGGCTCAGTCAGTTAAGTGTCCAACTCTCGATTTCGGCTCAAGTCATGATCTCACAGTTCGTGGGATCAAGCCCCTGCGCTGACAGTGCAGAACCTGCTTGGGATTCTCTCTCTCCCTCCTCTTCTGTCCCTCTCCTGTTTGGATGCACACGCGTGCGCGCTCTCTCTCTCAAAATAAATAAATAAACTTAAAAGAAATACATCAACTAAAGACCAAATAACCATTTATCTTCTACTTAATTCTCTCACTTCATGGCTATAGTTTAAAAATCTGGTGTTAGACATATAGGAAAGAAGTGCTCTTACTGGATCAATGCCAAAAGGGTATGGTCCGCCAAAAACTCCAGGGATAGCCGGGTTCAACTGCAGCACAGGGTTCCCCCGAAGTGTCTCATCCCTACCAGGTTAGGAGAAAAGTTACATTTGTTTTTATCGAGAGAGAGAACCTGTGGGGTCCAAAAACTGGTCCTAAAAGAAACTACTACAACTGTCTTGTCTCTTCAATAAAAGAGGAGGGACTAGCATCTGAGAATGAAAGGGTACAGCAATAACAAAAGAACACAACAAACAAATACACTTACATAACCAAGAAGGGAATTTGGGGAATCTGCTTTTAATTTACAAAAAGAATCAATGTGCCTCGACTTATAGTCTCAGTGACTTGAAGAGTACTGAAAGAATCACAAAGCACTTCCCAGGCTGGGGCAGAAATAAGAGGGGACACTGCATTCTTCTCAAACAGAGACACTGTCAGCTACTTCCTAAAGAAGTAGAAGTTTACCACTTGTCTGGAAAATCAGAACTGAACAGGAAAGGAATAAGCTTTAACTTTCAGCTTCTTTGCAACTTACGTCCAATTAGATAAAGAGAACATTGGCCGTACGCTCCAGGATGACCCGAAGATATTAAGAGACTTGGAAAAGCAGTCGTTGTAGATGAGGCCAGTGTAGATGGAAAACACACCCATCAACAGAATAATGTACCGGCCGCTGAACACAGTGCTAAACATCTGGAAACCAGAATGAAGAAGTCAATGAAATGTACTCCCAGTGGCTCATGTTGTGACAATGTTATTGAGAATATACTAGACCCTTCTTACACTATTTTACCCCACCCTGGGTCAGAGAGCTTGAAGTAAAAGTCAAAATACATGCTAACAAGAAATTACTTTCATAGCACATGGCTGCTTCAGCGTTAAAATGAATATAACCTCTCTATTCTTGACGTGGCCTCTGTAACTTCTCTATAACTTCAAGGATAAAAGACTTCCAGACCATAATTTTATAGGGACTGCTCGAGGAATTACAATGTGTCAGTTTGACGTAGACGCGGCAAACATTACCTCATTCTCATTCTTCTGGGAGAGGATCCGGCTCTCTCTTAATACCATCCATACAGCAAAGAGGGTCATCAAAATGCCATGGCCAAAGTCCCCAAACATCACAGCAAACAGGAAAGGGAAAGTGATGATGGTATATGGAGCTATAAATAAACCAAAGGAGGAAAAAGACAAAGTACAGACAACTGTGCCCACCACCAGAAGAACACGTTCCTCTCTGTACTCTAAGATCAGCATAAGGGGACTCATTCCCTAGCTGTTGGTCAGATGGACTCCCAGAGAAAACCTTCTGTGATCAGAGCAGCTCTGATGGCCTCTAGGCTACTGCTAGCATTTTAAACAAAGAACACAGGAAATGCAAGTTTTGGCCATAGCCCTGGCAACAGTGTAATTTGTTCTTTGATTCCTTCTCTCTAACGCCTGAGACGCTGCTCCTTTGACAGGCCAGCTTTCTTCGCTTGTGCAGCAACGATTTCCCAGCTGCATAAAGCTCCCAGGTAAGTGGGAGAAAGCCCAGAACCTAGAGCAAAGCCAGTCCTACAGAACACTCCAGCTAAAAAGGAATTCTCAGACTCTTGACTTAATAATTAACTCTCCTGTTTTTGCTTTGTGAAATCTGCTTTGTGTCTAAAATGGTCAATAATTGCTGTATTTTCTCTGTCTAACCTGGAGTAGGGAGGCCTTTTTAAAATATCAGATCTCTGGGAAAAAAACTTTTTGCTTAAAGTACTTTCTGCAAATGGTGTGCTAGAGAAAGCCAGGTGTGAGGGCACACAAAAGAATCCAATCCACTGAGCTCATTCCCATAAAACCACCTTTTAAAAGAGTGCCACCCAGCAACAAACCTCCCTCTCTGTGTCAAAGTGGGAACGTCTCTCTACAGGAAGGATACTAGAGCTGAGGTCCTGACACCACTGGTAGTTTAAGCCAGTTATTCAAGGACGTTTGAAGGGGAGCATTAGAAGAAATCACAAACAAAAAAATAAAACCGTTAGAGGGAGAAGATGCAAGCTTTTTCTTTTTTTTTTTTTTTTACCTGGGTTTATCTCCCGGTAAGTCCCGATTCCATAAGCATCTACTATGTTCTGAAAGCCGTATGTGAACTTGTTCGTTTTGTTATAGGTTGGGGGAGTCTGATTTGTTTGCATCCTGTTCAAGATAGAGGGCACAGTGGAGCCACTGTGTTCCTGGGAAACATTGAGCACATACAGCAAAATTAGATCATCCTGACTGTGTAGTTATCAAAACCCAACAAACTGTACATGGACATATAAAATACATGCATCTCATTCATGTGAATTGTTTCTCAATCTTCCCAAGTGTTTGGGGGAAACTGGAACTAAGTATAAGATTTACAATGAAAAATTTACATGAAGTCTTAGGAAGAATGTCCTCACTGTGAAAAAATTCAGTTCGGAAACGTGTAACCAAAGAAAACATGAAACTTCCTTCTCTGGAGACATCTTCATCTGCCTTTCTAAGAATGTCGTTGTTCTCTCCTTTTATGGAGAAAGCGGCGTATCTCCTCAAACTCTAACTACTAAGCGGACGGCCAGGGTTATCCGTCAGAAGCAGTCTGCTGGACAGAAAGAATGGATCAGGGAACTGACGTTCTGATCATGAGCTACCCTGAAGAATCATGGGTGTACGACCAAGTCATTTCATCCTTGTTGAACTGCAGTTTCCACACTCAGAAAACAAGATGTACAAAATGTACGGTGAGGTGTAAGGGGAGGACAAGGGGAGTGCAGTCAAGAAGTCTGAAAGTAAAAATGCCACAAAAATGTAATGAATTCATGTTATTGCTGATGGGCACCTCTCTTCCTGGCTGCATGGCTAGTGGCGCGGGACTCACCGTGCCCCTTCTGAGTGCAAACTGGATGGAGTCGAGGTCGGTGACAGGGCACCAGACCTCGGCGATCAGGCACTTCTGGGTCACGTCTATGTTGCACAGATTCAGGGTGTGGTAGATGGCCTTCATCTTCCGCACCTTGATGAACCAGACACGGATGTTTTTAGCTGCCGCCTGCAGAACCCTCTGGCGGTGGTCCTCTGTTTGATTCAGAACCTTTTGGGAGAAAAAGGAACAAGGAGAAATACTTCTACAGAACGAGTCTTAGATCTCAGAATACGAATATCAAAGAGGCACAGCTTTCTGAGAAGGGTTGCTAGGGACCTATTCTTCTTCAGAATAGAATGGTTTTTTGGGGGCACCTGGGTGCCTCAGTCAGTTGAGGTCAGGTCATGATCTTGTGGTTCGTGGGTTCGAGCCCACATTGGGCTCCGTGCTCACAGTTCAGAGCCTGGAGCCTGCTTCAGATTCTGTGTCTCCCTCTCCCTCCCTCTCTCCCTCTCTCTCTCTCTCTCTGCCCTTCCCCTGCTCATGCTCATGCTCTGTCTCTCCCAAAAAACGAATAAACATTAAACAACAACAACAAAAGTAGAATGGCTTTTTTTGAGGGGGGGTAAAGTACAAGAAATTAGAGTTTTAGTTACTAATATTCATTTTCTTTTAGCTTCAAGCTGAAGAGAAACCTGGGGAAATTGTTTTTAGCTCTTCTATATTTAATCTTCCCATCAAGTCTACAGCACAATGTAGGTCATTGGCTTTTACCTGGATCATTAAAGGCTTTCCCTATGGAGTCTGTAACTCAGACTCAAAGAAGCCAGCATCATCATAGGCCTGGAAGTTTGTAAAATCCATACTTAAGAACAGTAAGCTGCAGGATCCCCTGCGCATAAGCCAGCATCAGGGAATGATGGGAAAGAGGCAGGGCTGAGCCCCATTGTCTGCCTCTGCCAAGAGAGACTCCATGCCAGGAACAAGAGACAGGAGACACTATGGGGTCAGGAGGACCTTTGAGGGGATTTAGAGCGCCACATACCACTGTTATCATGGCTCAGATGAGGCTTTGTCTTTCTGTCAGGCTTCTTGGGGGAAGAGGAGGGAAACGTTTTCAGTGCTGATCCTTTGGAAACCAGTACAGGTTTCCCTCAGAGTGATCACACTGCTAAAACAATGGTGGGAGGAAGGGACAGGAACACTTTACATTCTATTGCCCTGGTAATTGCTACTTAAGATTTCAATAGTAGAAGAGGGGCTAAGCCAAAGGGCGAGCAACCCACCGCTCACACTTCTGCACAGAAACTGACCTTAAATCTCCACATTTCTTTAGAGAGGAAAAAGCTATGCCCTAGCCATGTTAGCACAAGGCTCCATCATACTTGGCTCATCAAGTCAATTCAGAAAAAAGCAGTAACTACTTTCTGAAGGGCAGTAGGTAGGGACGTCCATACAGGTTTTTAAGAAACCCACAGGCTAGAGAAACTCTTGTCTCACTTAAGAATAAAGGAACACGGGGCGCCTGAGTGACTCAGTCGGTTAAGCATCCGACTTTGGTTCAGGTCATGATCTTGTGGTCTGTGGGTTCCAGTCCGGTGTCGGGCTCTGTGGTGACAGCTCAGAGCCTGGAGCCTGTTTCATATTCTGTGTCTCCCTCTTCTCTCTGCCCCTCCCCAGCTCATGCTCTCTCTCTGTCTCAAAAATAAATAAACGTTAAAAATTTTTTTTTAAATAAAAAAATAAAAATAAAGGAACAGTTATTTTCTCTCCTGGCTGTTGATAATTTTAGAATTCCCATTCAAACTTCTGGAAGAATGCTAGATAAACTTGTAAGCAATGCCCTATTTGCTTTTCTCTTTCTCCACCGCTTCACCCCCCCCATCCCCACATCTCACTCCTTGACCTGTGAGTTCATGATCTGACCTGAAATCAGGAGTCAGACGCTTAACCAACTGAGCCACCCAGGCTCCCCAAGAAAGATCACTCCTTGATATTCAAACCCTTTTTAAAGTTCCAGTTCATATAGCTGGGTATTTTAAAGAGCAAATTCTTGGGGCGCTTGGGTGGCTTAGTCGGTTAAGTGTCCGACTTTCGCTTAGGTCATGATCTCACGGTTCGTGGGTTCGAGCCCCGCGTCGGGCTCTGTGCTGACTGCCAGCTCAGAGCCTGGAGCCTGTTTCAGAGTCTGTGTTTCCCTCTCTCTCTGACCCTCCCCTGTTCACGCTGTCTCTCTCTATCCTAGAAATAAAATTAAAAAAAAAAAAAAAAGTTTAAAAAAAATAAATAAAGAGCAAATTCTGGCCATACTGTCAATGCCTTTTAAAAATCTATCCGTAATAAATAAATAAATAAATAAATAAATAAATAAAAATCTATCTGTGAGTCTAGGAGGGGCTAAGATAGGCCTAGAACCCAGAACATACTAATTGGCCTACCACCCACCAGCAGCTCTAAAACCTTTCTTCCCTCGGTTAAACAGGTGAGTGCATCTCAAAGGAGCCGGCAATAGGTCAAGATGGCAGGTCATATGGGAGTTGGAGGGAAAGAGGACAAAGGGAGTTGAAATGGGAGTTATACCAGATCTCTGGTGACTCTGCCCCTGCTGGAAAGAACTATCTTTGGGATTAAGTAGGGGACACCATCACCACCCAAGACCCGCAGTGGGTGTCTGGAACAGTGAATGGTACCTAACTCTATAAATAATATGTTTTTTCTTATACACACATACCTATGATGAAGTTTAATTTATAAATTAGACAATTATATTAGGCATTAATAACTAATAACAAAACAGAACAAGTGTAACAACAGACGATAAGAAGTCCTGTGAATGTGGTATCTCTAAATATCTTCCTGTACTGCAGACTCACCCTTTTTCTTGTGAGGATGTGAGAGGAGAAAATGCCTACATGAGCAGGAGGAGATGAAGTGTGGGGAGTGGTGTGGGCGTGTGATGCAGCGTTAGGCTATTACTGACCTTCTGACGTCATCAGAAGGAGGATCACCTGTTTCAGAATTGCAGTTGACCGTGGGTAACTGAAATCTTAGAGAGAAAAATCATGGATGGCAGGGGAACTACTGTATGTTTTAATGTTTCAAGAGGGCAACTGTCTTTCAACAGGAAACAAAGCTCTAACTGGCCACACTTTCCTTCCATTTATGCATCGATCGTGACTCCTTCCTTAGGACTTCATGACAACCATGGAGCGTATAAGCCAACAGGTGATGTGGTAGAAATCTAACGCAGTCTCTTCTTGGGTACAGAAGCTATACCACGACTCTGCCTACACTGCATGATTAAGATATATGGTGACCAGAAGGATACACACCAAGCTGTTAAGAGTGCTTGCCTCTGGAGAGGGGGTATGTGTGAGACAGAGGATCGGGCTTTTATGCCTTGCTTCTTTATTACTTGATTTTTTTTCTTAACGAAGCATACTTTTTTTAATCATAAAAAATACCGCAGACTCATGACAAGGGAAATTGAATATTCTAAGCAACAACAGGGGCGCCTGGGTGGCTCAGTCCGTTAAGCATCCGACTTTGGCTCAGGTCATGATGTCACGGTTCGTGGGTTCAAGCCACGCCTCGGGCTCTGTGCTGACGGTGAGCTCAGAGCCTGGAGCCTGTTTCAGATTCTTTATCTCCCTCTCTCTCTGACCCTCCCCTGCTCACACTCTCTCTCTCTCTCTCTTTCTCAGAAATAAATAAAACATTAAAAAAGAAATAAGCAACAACAATTTCAGATGGATAGCATTCCTGTCGTGTTTAAGGATGATTAATGCTATTTTTAACAGTCATTCCCTGAAACTTTTCCCCAGCTCCCAAGGCCTCAAGTTACCCATGGACATTTCTTTTTTTGGGTCTCGGCTGCTGTAGGTACCTAACAAACTGTTAGTGTTTCAAGGAAGGAGAATGGTTTTCTATTATAGTATTTCTGATGAGGGAGCATAAGGCAAGCTGCCAGGATGCAAACACCCTCCCCCCACTCCTAGATTGGATACGTGTGATACTCAGCACTCTTGGCTGCCCAAGAACAAAGGAAAGGAAAAAAACAAATGGTTAACTGACAGAGATCATAGTCCTGCAGGACCTAAGTCTCCATCACCCTCCATAGTGACGTGGGAAACAAAGGCAGAAGGAAATGGCAGACAGAACTAAATTTCTTTATAACCTGCGGTCCATTGACAATACTTGAGGCTGGCAGAGTAAAAACGTTTCTCCAGAAAACTCCTCACAGTCTTAATGTTAATGTTTTGCTAGAGGGAAAAACAACCTCAGCTTGACAATAGCTAGGCCTCCACTATCTTGGAGTCTTCTTTAGCATATGAAAATCTCACTGAAAACTTTCTCTGGACTTTACCTCCCCCAACCCCATAGTATATAACCAGTTTCTCCTCATGGTCCCTGGGCAGCTCTTCCTGCCCATGGGTCCTGTCTCCGTGCTTCAATAAAATTACCTTTTTGCACCAAAGATTTCTTCAAGAATTCTTTCTTGGTTGTTGGCTCCAGAACCCACGAACCCCACTATCACCCTCCAAAAACCCTCATAATTTTACACACACAAAAATTCCCTCCAGCATTCTGATACCATTTGGAGATCGTCAATCCTGGTATTAACTCCAGAAGCCATTTCCTTCCTCTCCTGTGGTGTCTCAGGACAGGGATAGAGTGAGGCCCGGAACCTGGAACATACAAACACAGCCTGATGAACATCGAAATTTCTTAACCTATCCAATCTACATAACCTCAGAAAGTAATCTTAATGTACTAGAAGGACCTAAACAGGATTAGTTCAGACTGGTGCCCTGATCATGAGTAACTAGGAAGTGTCCTATAGATAGAGCAGCAACATTTGAACAATCTTGACGTTCTCTGCAGCTACTAAATTTCCTTACATTAAAATTTGTAAAACTCAGTAATCCAAGTCATATTATAAGCTATGAGAGAAAAATGGCACGGAAAAGAGATCTTATGGGCAGAATTTCAGAAAAGCTTACAGGCACAATGCTTATGGCACACTGCTGGGTACACAAGCCCATTGTCCTAGAACAATGCAGCATTTATAAACCATGAGTCCTGATTACTTTTTTCCAAAGAAAGGAAATTGTGGTTTTGACAGTACTTTTAAAAGCAAACTGAGGCCATTCCTAATTGTTTAAAATATCCCTAACATTATTAGAAGATATATGCATTGCGTCAAGGTAGGCTAAAAGGGCTATTGTTTCACTATTCTGTATCCTAAGGTTAAACAGTCAGACAGCCTGACTACACCCTCAGGAAGGCACATATCTCTTACCCCTCGCAGATTTTCTTGACTCTGTTTTTCAGCTGATCACCTTGGAAGAAAATGATGAATACAGACTTGTGCACGTAGTCACCCTGGGTCCCAAACCAGAAACAGAGAATTCAGACTTCTACTCTGGAAGAATATTTCTTGAATAACCTACTTCCTTGGTTATAGAGGAACCAAGGTGATAGAGGAACAACGGGAGTCCTTTAAGGATATGGCAACCCTGCAAACTATTATCCTCGATCCATTTCTTAAGCTCCACTATAAGAACATTTGTCCTATAATCTCTAATGCACAGAAAACTTTCTGTATTTGTTTTTAAACTCAACTGTGAGCTGAACACAGATGCTCAGATGATTCTCCTCATAGTACAATATAGCCCTTTTTACCAATTCAACTTCAAACCTTATACTACCTGAGTGATGTAAGTACGGAGGAGAGGAAAGGAAGTCATTCCTGCTTATTCCCATGCTTAGAAATTCCCAGATAGAGGAAACTGAGTAACTCTAAGGAATGGAGGGTTTGGGAAGAATGTCGATGTAGAATTTCATGCTTCATGCTAAGTTTGATCGAAGGGGCAGGGAGGAAGGCAATCTATTCCAAACACCAAGTTTACACGCAAAGTCTGAGGCAAGGACTGCAGGGAAAGATCAGAAAAATAAGCTTAACTGCATGTTAACTGGGATTGTCTCTGGTTGCCTGTATTTCTCATATTCCTAGAGTTTTTACAATAAAAAGCAAATGGACTTTAGAAGGATAAAAGGAGATGAGGAGTGAAGACAATGACACTACCCATCTTAAATTCCTCATTCTCCAGGAAGAAACTGGAGCACATTTTTGTGCGGCGGCTCTGCTGTAGCTAGCCAAACCCCCTTGTCCTCAATTTGTTGATAACAGTGTTTTTGTTGCCCAGAAACTTGGCTGAAGATTCCTAAGGACAGTTCCACAAGAGGTGTGACTGCAGACTGCAGGGTCTCCACAGGCCAAGCACAGGCTTCGGGGAGTCTCCTCTGGAGGGCCCGCTGTACCCTAAGCGCCACCACCCTCCTGTTTAGGAGGATAAAAGGATAAAAGCCTCAGATTTTCAGCTGCACGACCCCACCCACTCTGAGAAGTCACAGATTCAATCTCTCTTCTTAGGTGGAGCAAAGAATACTAACTTAAGAAAATCCAAAAGATCATTTTCAACAGAAAAACCAAGGCCACGCTTCTAAATAATATCAATACTAAAGGGAAGTAAATTTTCTTTGCAATACGTTTCATCCTCCTTGTGATCCTTGAAATCAGGACTCAGGATACTTAGTGTACGTGAGTACTAAGATCAGATACTTTAGTTAGATCAGTATCTAATTAAACATCAGATACTGATGTTTAAGAACTCTGTCCCGTTCTGTCAAATCCCAAGATATTCAGCCGTTCCTACTCTGCAAAGCGCTGGGTGGGGAAGATCAATCTATCTTGCACAGTGTATTATTTTTAAATTAAGTTTCTAAATCTCCCAACAAACAAGTAGACAAAAATCCTTACCAACTAAAAATTTCATCAACTTATCAAGCTCACAATTTAGGAACTCTCTCCTCATATTGATATTACCGAACGTGGAACCGGATGTCTCACCTTAATTGTCATAGAAAGTTGATTTTCTTTTGGTCTCAGATAAGTAACAGAGAGCATGTAAAGCTGAGGTTTAAGATAACTGAAAAAAACATATTTACAACCCAAATAATACCTACACAAGTGGGGCTTGAAAATGTCTAGGATAGGGGGCCTGGGGGGCTCAGTCGGTTAAGCATCTGACGTTGGCTCAGGTCATGATCACACGGTTCGTGGGTTCGAGCCCTGCATCGGGCTCTGTGCTGACAGCTGGGAGCCTGGAGCCTGCTTCAGATTCTGTGTCTCCCTCGCTCTCTGACCCTCCCCTGCTTACGCTCTCTCAGAAATAAACATCAAAAAAAATTTAAAAAAAAAGAGAAAATGTCTAGGCACTCGTCAGTATGCATCATGTGTACACACACGATGGGAGTTAAGAGGAAAAGAGCAGTGTTTCAAATGTGCAAGTCAAAGCAGAAGTAAACATAAGGGCTCCTCTGTGGGAGCGTCAGACTCAGGTGGTACCATGCAGTGTCACTGCTCTGGGCTCCCTTTACAAGACCTAGTCCACAGGACACAATTTCCTTGTCTTACAGTCACAGGATCCTCCAGGGGGTTCTCGATTTCAGCCTGTCGCAGGAACACATTCCCCCGGCACACCCGCCAAAGCATGCGCTCAAAAGTCGGGATGCGCTCCCGGTTAATCACACCAGCCACGAAGCTGTGGGGAGAAGAGGCATATGGGGACCTCTAGCCCATGCAACGGCAAGGAAGGCTTTAAGACAAAGAAGAGAAGCGAGAGGAGAGGGACACAAACAACAAACACAAGACTACGCAATGTTGCACCAAAAGGGCTCCCAAAGTCTTATTCCCGGACCCAGGAGAGGGCTGACAGGACAACTCAGGAACTACATCCAAAGTGACTTAGGAACATCTCTCAAGGGGCTCAGAAGAGAACATATCCTGGGAGCCAATGAATTGGCCAGGCTCACTGCTCTTTTGAACAGCAAAAATGAACCTGACCCCTCCTTCCCCCCCCCAAAAAAAGGCCTGTGACCCCACTGACTTATGGAGGCTCGCAGCAGTACCTACCCGAGCCTTAACGGTGTGCCTCTTCCCATCTCACTCGGCTCCAAGAGGGATGAGGACTCTTCCAACAGGTCTGGATCCGCCATCTGCTGATGATGCAATTCAGCCTGAATTCACAAATCAATTAATATCTAATGAAAATAGTTAGTGGCATGCAGGGAACGAGGAACCGGGAGATAAGTTCAGAAAATAAAGACAAGAGAAAAAAAAACTACCAGAAGAGAAGACATATCCACAAAAAGAAGACAAGAATAGGGGAAGAAAACAAAGGAAAAGAAACAAGAGGTAGAGAAAGCTTCGTCACCCCAGCAAAGCATCCGGGGAAATGGTTTTTGAGATAACAAAGAAAGAAAAAAACCACTACATAATGGTGATATGTATAAATCTGTTACTTAGGTGGAAACCATTTTTCCTCTGTTTCCCTGAATGAGCCACGAAAGTACCAAGAAATACTTTTGCACACAGACAGAAGCTGCAATGTTTCTTCATTTTCAGCAAAACCAAAGCAGCTCTGAAGATACTCTCAACATCAAATTTCCAGGCAGCTACAAACTAGAATTTTCCCTGTGTGAGAATGTGAAAGATGGAGACTCTCTTTCCAAGGAGAAAAGCAAGGCCCCGCCACTGTCCTGAGCAGTGTGGGCTGGAGAAAGGTGGAAGGGGTATCTCCACGTGACTGGGTTTTCCATGCTCTTCAAAATTCACAACATGAGAACTTTCAGCATGGCCACTGTAAAAATACAAACCATGGGATTTAAAGAGTATTTCTTTGGGGGTGCCTGGGTGGCTCAGTTGGATGAGTGTCCGACTCTTGATTTTGGCTCAGGCCATGAACCCAGGGTGGTGGGATCGAGCCCCGCGTCAGGCTCCATACTGAGTGTGGAGACTGTTTAAGAGCCTCTCTCCCCCTTTCCCCCTCTCCCCGGCTTGTGTGCTCTCCCTCTCTCTAAAATAAAGAATATATAATAATGATAAATAGGATTTCTTTCTCCAAAAGGAGAAGCAGCATATTGCCTGGGCAGGGCTGGGCCTTGACTGCATCAATAAAGGGAAGAAAAAGTGAAAACATATCTGAATGTCTTTGTTTCCAACCAGGAATCTAGGAATATTAAAAAGTTCATGTCAGGCTATATAGTTTAAGGGTCACTGAGAACGTAGCTAAAGCCAGTAATCTAAATCAAGTGAAGAAAAAGTAACTGATCATAAGCCAATATAGAACATGTGGGATAATTTAATTGTTTAGATTTAAAATGATTTCCACCATGACAGTTTATACAATGAAATGAAGGAAGAGAGGGACCTTTTCAGACGGAGGTCTATACTTCCTAGACTCTCTTTGCCCAACACATCCTAACACCTTTTATTCTTATCAGGAAGGTCTGAGAAGCTCTCTAAAAAATAAAGGCCAATCCACTTCTCTACCACCTGGTCTCCTCAACTTTAATATCCACACACTACCTGTTTGACCAAAGACCAGAGATATGCCAGAAAAATCTTCCTTTTCAAAAGCAAAACTAAGCAAAAAAATCAAGAGAATTTTTCTCTATCATCTTCATTCCAAACATCAGTTTGATTCTATTCCTGTTAACCCTGAGATCAAAAAATGTCACAAGGGGGGGCGCCTGGGTGGCTTAGTCGGTTAAGCATCCGGCTTTCGCTTAGGTCATGATCTCGCGGTTCGTGGGTTCGAGCCCCGCATCAGGCTCTGTGCTGACTGCCAGCTCAGAGCCTGGAGCCTATTTCAGAGTCTGTATCTCCCTCTCTCTCTGACCCTCCCCTGCTCATGCTGTCTCTCTCTCTCCTAGAAATAAAATTAAAAAAAAAAAAAAATCACAAGGGAACCTCTCTTGATAAGTCATAGGAAATGTAAAGTGAAGGGGTGTGGGGGAGGGCTTCAGGATTGAGTATAAACCTGAGTATAAACCAAACGATTAGGCTAAAAGCCTTAAAAAAAAAAAAGAGAGAAAGCAATTTTTGGGGAAGGAAATTCTTTTTTTTTTTTTTTTTTTACAAATAGTTTATTGTCAAATTAGTTTTTGGGGAAGCAAATTCTAAGAGTTGATGCAGGATCAACGTTCAACCTCCACACACACACACACAAAAAAAAAAGGAAGGGCAGGCTCTGAGTACACCAGAAGGCAGAGAAATACTGTCATGATCTATGAAAAAGTTTAAGATGAGATAATGGGGGCACGGGTTTCCACTTGCTATCAAACGGAAAATTAGAGGGCTTTTTTTGGTTTCTACTTAATATCAAATCAGCTGATTGCAAGCCACAGGCAATCTATTTTAAGGATTTAGATGACTACCTCATTTCAACTTGTTCTTGGGATGTCCCTCAGCAAAAACCAGTGAAACTGACTGCTACACACAAGACTCCTGCCTACTTCCCTACACGGTTCACGAGACCTGGCTAAAGTAAACCCAAAAGATCAGACTCGGTGCAAATATATGTGTTCTAAAGGGGACAACTGCTAGAACAGCAAAAAGCACTGGGCAACTAGAGTCCTCCAAAAACTGGATCTGGGGACTCTGTGGGCATAAAAAGAACCCAGTGGAGGGGCGCCTGGGTGGCTCAGTTGGTTGGGTGGCCGACTTCGGCTCAGGTTATGATCTCGCAGTTTGTGGGTTTGGGCCCCGCATCAGGCTCTGTGCTGACAGCTCGGAGCCTGGAGCCTGCTTCGGATTCTATGTCCCTTTCTCTCTCTGCCCTTCCCCTGCTCACACTCTGTCTCTCAAAACTTAAAAAAAAAAAAAAAAAAAAAAAGAACCCAGTGAAATAAAATCAAATGGAAACTTGCAATAATAATCTAATTAATAATATCACCACTTCATATTTAAGAATCCTAAATCTTAGAGAGGGGAGTAAAAAAAGTGTTTAAATAATTGTGCCTTATGAGGAACTAGGAGGACCTGAACCACTCACTGAGGGCCTTTAAAACAATCTCTAAAACTAAATCCTATTCTGGGCTCCCTAATAACAATAACAACGCGGCCAATGTGCCTCTAAATGACTTGCTACTTTCTCTGGTTTACCTTTTCCCCCCATCAGAACACTAAAACCATGCCCTGAAAGAGGAAGCGGCAGAATTTCAGCGGCTGTCTCTCTACACTGAAATAGAAGCAGCACATCCGGATTCAGCTGCATTAATTACCAAGAGCAAATACTCTTACTTCCATCTACAGCGAGAGAGAAAAATCACATTTCATTACTTACGGTATTCACCCAAGCCCCAAAGGAGATGGCAGATGGGAAAGAAAAGTAAAGAAGAGCAGATGGATGGAAGACTCAGGAGGAAAGGAAGGCAGGGACCTGCATGCCATTAACCATTACTTTTCCAGTCTTCTTTACGTTCTCATGTGTTAGGGTGCTTATGGTAAAAGATGCAGAGAGCCCTCTTCAGCTCTCACAGTTCTTCATAAGCAAGAAGACTGAGAAAAGGATAATCATTAACAAGTCATTTTTAATGCTCTGGACGAGAATTACTAAGTCGAATTTGTAATCATCTTAAATCATAAGAATATCCAGTTTACGCTTCCTCGTCCCCTTCCAGACACCTTGCCAATCATGACCACTACGCCTAAAGATGGAAAGAAAGAACCCTTTTCTGATTTGGCCATTTTCTGCTAACTCATTATTATAAATTATTGATCATGGTCCACCAAAGTATATAAAAAAGAAGGGTTTGAAACTGGTTGTATTTTAGGTCATTTGCAAACAGTGGGATTTCAGGCATGGAAGGCAATCTCATGAAAAAAGTTCTGTTTCTGAGATTTGTGGGTCCCATGTTTCTCTCTCTTGCACTCTTTAAAACGTGCCCTCACGTGCACAGGTGCACTTACTCTGTGAGGTCTTATCGCCTGTCATGGGGGCAACGGCTGAGACTGCTGCGTGGGACCAGCTGGTCAAGGGCCATTGAAAGGGACCTGGCTGAACCTCTGGGCCAGTGACGGGAGGAGGCAAGGCACTGACTGCACTCGGAGAGGAAAGGTAGAGGGGCCCTTGCCAGAAGCCTCCTTATGCGATGGTGAGGACCCGTGTAGGGACATGAGGGGTTGATGACAAGAGCAGCCACAGAGCCTCTCACAGCCCAGGACTTGGGCTCAAAAGTACTTCGAGATTAAAAAACAGAGAGAGAGAGAGAAAAAAATGTTTTGTGTGAGTAAGGGGAAAAACAACCCACCATGGATTTACTGGGCATGAAGGTTGTAAAGACTTCCAGCCTGCCTTCTCAGCATGGGGGTTTCGTGCTTAGACTTATTAATCACAAAGAAAATTCCTAAATCTAGAACTTATGATTTTAACACTTTGGTCATTTTTCCAAGTGATTTCTCTTATTTAGTTTTAATGTTTTGTTTGTAAATAACATTAACAGTTCAAGTAACGGGGCGCCTGGGTGGCCCAGTTGGTTAAGCGTCCAACTTTGGCTCAGGTCATGATCTTGAGGTTTGTGAGTTCGAGCCTCGCATCAGGCTCTCTGCTATCATTGCGGAGCCCGCTTCGGATCATCTCTCTCCCTCTCGCTCTGCCCTTCCCCCGCTTGTGTGCACACATGCACACACTCTCTCAAAAAAGTAATAAACTTAAAAAAAAAATTCAAGTAACTATTGCTCATAAGGGAGTCCATCTGTCAGTCTTTATTCAGAATTTCTCACAGAATGAGTTAGAAAAGGAAGCCTATTCTAGCCCTTAAACTCAGGAGGCTAAGAAAAACATTGTCATACATTTTAGCAACATCCTAGCTATAAACTAAGACTACATCAAAAAGGGAAGGGGGGTGCAAAAGAATTAAATCGCAAATGATGTTAAAAGTACCTGAGCTTTGATTCTGAGGCTAGTTTAAATTGGATCTGTGAGATGGTAGCTTGGACACATTTAGAAAAGCACCTATCTGTGTGAGCCGATGGAGACACTGTGCCCTGGGATGTTTTCTGATATGACTAAGTAATACATTCCTTGAGCACAGGGACCATGCCTTACTCATCCTGTGCCTCACAGAGTAGGTGCTCATTAAATGCTCAGTGGATTAGTGAATATAAATACAATGATGTTTAAGCAGTGAGCAACTGGAATTCCAGATTATTTACTCATTAAAACGATATGGTATATGTGGCCATGCCTGTTGCAAAAGACCTGAAACACTTGAAAAGAGTTAATCACCCCTTCTAATTTGATGAGATATCAGGGACTGGTGAAAGAAGTCCCCATGAGTCTCAAAATTCTCAACTCAGTGAGCAAGCCAAATATTCACACCAAACTGCTCTTGACATACAGCCAGACTCTGATTCTTGGGATGACTAGGCAATTAAATTCATGAGCTTTTCCCCTTTCCCCAACAGACTTTTTTAATTAGCATGGCTTCTCTGAGTCCATCCTTAGTTACTGAAGAATGTATCACATCTTTGGCTGACGTCCTTGAGCCCAGTGGTCCACAAACTAGTGTGCCTCAGAGTCCCCTTGTGAAAACAGACTGCTGGGCCCCACCCTCAGGGTTTCTGATTCATGAAAATCTGGAGTGGGGTCTAATGATCTGCATCCTGACAAGTTCCTAGGTGAGGCTCATGCTGCTGGTTAGACAGCCCCTGCTCCAGTCCTTAAAAGAACGATATTAAAAGTAGAACTGAGAATACATCAGATGCTAACTAAAATGGGCCCTCTATTTTTAAAGAGCTTTGCCAATTTTGTTGCTGTTGAGCAAAGAAAATAAAGAACTTTATGAAAAGCACACTGAAGAGTGGCTGGAACAGTAGCAGAAGTGTCTGATATTGCTAATCTGGTGGCAAAGGCACCTTACTGTAAAAAAAGAGAGTTCCTGATACGTTAGGCCATCAACAAGGCCAAATCCAGGCTGAAAGCTAAGACTCCTCTCCATGTTTAATGAGAAGGAACCCTGCTGAAAGCCTTGCTCCAAAGCCTTTCTGTGGGCTCACCTCAGCAAACTGTCATCTGTCACCTACATTTTTAACCTAGGAACTGATTTATGTTCTTCCCTATAAGGTAGTGTGATTGAGTTTCCATGAAAATCCAGGAATTTCGAAATAGGCATCCTACCAGTATTTCCATACAACATAAAGAGAAACTCTTGAAAAATTAAAGTGTGACTTGTGCTATGTGGATAGTTACAAATGTGCTCATGGTGGATAAGCAAACATAGAGAATAAAATAAAAATAAAAATTTGATGACAGAGTTTTGGAGATTAAACTTTTGTTCTAATTTCGTGTATGGCTGAATGTTTCTTGTTGCTTCAACTTTTACCTTAAGCATTTACTTACCTCAAAATATAATGACAAAATTTCAATCATATATATATATATATACACACAAAACTACTTTAGGGTTCCTTTCCCCATCTTGCGATGAAAAATTGCAGAAAATGCAAAAGCATACAAAACCATGACTGGCTGCGTACTGCATGAGAAATGGAACATAATCTGACATTCCTTCAACTAAAACGGTGCGAAAATGGTATTGCTTTCAAACTAGCAAATTAAAATAATTTTTGGAATAACAGCATGGCACACTTGTGCGGGTGTAATATCGGCTGCTCAAATGCTAAAAGAAACAATAGTCTGACCTCATCGAAAAACTGCTGAGTTTTGCGAAGTATAAATTTTAATTCAGTCAGTTCCAGGAAGTTTCTCTTCAGAGCTTCCTGGTTTGTGTTGATTTCCTTCAGTTCATTTTCAATCTTCTCAAAATTGGCCTACAGAAGAAAATAAATAAATAAAATCAAACTTATTAACTCAGACTAAGCTCAATGTGCTTGATCGGAAAGACAGGTGAATTTATCTATCCCACAGAACTCTTGCCACCCCAATGGCTCAAACATATTTCATGCTTACCCAGAAAATATGCGATTTTACCAGGTCAATTTTCTTTACGCAGTTTTTTTTGCTTAACATCATGTCTTTATCTATAGGTTCTATTACACACTAAGTTGAATTTCTCAGGGGACTTTGGATGAATAAAATAAATACTGAAAAGTCTACTGGTTATTCATTTAGTCTATGAGATGAATAAATTACTAGATAAGTTGATGTTAATCCAATAAGGTTTCAGTAAGGCAATAAACATTTATTTGGTGGCATGTGATACTGTTCAAGATAGTGCTCTATAATAAGTTTTCACAAGAAATTTAGAAGCAAGAGACAAGGTGGATAAGGACAGCAAGAATTCCTCTACTCTCCATCCACACAGGAAAATAATTGCTGCTTTAAGTAAAAAGAAACTTATCTCTTACTCAGAAGAATTGTTTACCTCTAAATCAATCATGTCCCGGGGGAAGGGCACCTCTGGGTTTTCACCAGTATCCATAATTGGGATATTAGCTTTTCTTATCTCTTTCTCAACAAATCCTAAAATGACAGAATCAAAACATTCATGTATAGCATAGGACTAGAATTGCCAGTATTTGAGGAAAAAAAATAAGACCCAAACCTGGCTAAAAAGAGCTTCATTCCCAGAAAGTTACTTTCATATAAAGGAAGCAGAACATGTAAATCCTTCTTTCTCCACGTTCCTCTTCCTCCACTGCACACTCTGTTAACAATCACAGCTACCCCAGAGAGGATTATCATCCCACTGCTGTCTTCCTTCCGTCTTCTGATCTTAAAACTGGACCTCATCTGCTTCAGTTCTCCACCCTCTGCAACTACTGCCCCAGACAGAGCACAATAGTTCTCCTTGTAGAGCAGAGCTACAGAAGAGCGTCATTCAATAGAATATTTGACATTTAGCACACTAGTGAGCAGCTCCAGATCAAAAGGGTCTCATCAAATTTGAAAAACAACCAGATCAGTTTTAACAACACAAAAAAACAAAAAGCATGACATGGAATAAGGCCCCCAAATACCAGGAGAAAAAAGTGACAACTAGTAACTTTTCCAGGGCTGGGACCAAGTTTACCAATCAGCTAAAAAGCCAACATAGTATAGTAGTGAGATCATGGGTTTCAGAGCCAGAGAGAACACCCTGGATTCAAATACTAATTCCAACACAACTGTTTATGTTCCTGGCAAGCACTTAACCTCTCTGATCTTTGGTTTCCTCACTTATTTATTTATTGCTTATTTTTTAAGTAATCTCTACATCCAATGTGGGGCTCAAACTCACCACCCTGAGATCAAGAGTCAGATGCTCTACTGACTGAGCCAACCAGGCTCATTTATTAAATGGCTTCCTCATTTAATAAATGAGGTAATACCCAACTGAAGGAATATTGTGAGGAAATGAATGAAACAAAGTACATGAACTCCTCAACTTTCAACAGTACCCTAATAAATGTGTTAGTTTCTTCCTTCATAAAAAGCTCAAATTAAAAGGTGGCTATGTTGACATCTAAAATAGATGGTGGGGTGCCTGCCTGGCTCAGTCAGTGGAATGTTTGACTCCTGATCTCAGGGTTGTGGGTTCAAGCCCTACCCTGGATGTAGAGATTGCTTAAAAATAAAATCTTTAAAAGTCATAAAAAATAAGTAATATTTTAAAATAAAAAATATATAAAATAAAATAAAAATAGTGGTCTGGGTCCTATCTCTCACACTGCTATAATGCAGTAGCTACAGCAGTAGCTATAAAACCCTTCCAACAAAAAATAACCAGTGTGTTCAGCGTGCAACCTCATCATCTCAAACAAGGTTTCCATTAAGCACCACTTAGCCCTGATACCATAAAATCTACTTGTACATGAAAAATTCATCTTAATATCAGGATCACAAGACTATTCCTCCTTTTTCTCCTGTAGTATTTTCTTATTTTGTTAAGATGACTAGCATCTCGAATTTCAGACAAATGACTCATTATAGGAACATCATACAGGACCAAAAAGCACATACGGAGCTTTCGATCCATTTCTTCACATCTTCTAACTTCATTCACAAATTTCCGCTGGAAAACATTCACATCTGGATTTAACTGCAAAATAAGAACACAATACCAAATATTTTTTAGAAAGTTTTTTTTTAAGGTTTATTTTTGAGAGAGAGAGAGAAAGCACATGCACACTAGCAGGGGAGGGGCAGAGAGAGGGAGACAGAATCCGAAGCAGTCTCCAGACTCTGAGCTGTCAGCACAGAGCACAATATGGGGCTCAAACTCACGAACCATGAGATCATGACCTAAGCCGAAGCTGGACGCTTAAATGACGGAGCTACCCAGGCACCTCCCAGATATTTAAATACTGCATCTATTTCCTCTGCTTCACAAGCAACACATTCTGCAAAGCAAACCTAATTTTGTGTCAGTGTATGATGCAATCATGTGATGCAAAAATAGTCTACTGCCCTACATAACTTGCTTCAGGGCCAATCACACCAACTGAAGATAAAAACCCCTCTCTCACTGTGGCATTGCCTCCATTGGAATGGAGGCAATTAGACAAAGCACTGTGGTGCAAGATGGTCTTCCCAGGTCAGTCTCAGTGAGCTCCCCCAACCAAAAACCTGAGCAATGATGTAACAGAAGCTCTGCTCAGTTTTCTTTCTCATCCTCCCAATCAGGAGAGACAGAAGGCAAACATCTTTTATTCTTCTGTCCCAGGACCTTCGCTTCCTAGGAAACAGGCTGGTTTATTCATTCATATATCACAACTAATTTTCAAAGCAATGTGACAGATATTCTGGGAAATGCAAACAAGTTCCTACTTACTAAGAAGCCTTTACTAAGCCAATCTAGTAAAGAAAAAATAAACACAACCAATTAGGATAGCATGTGATAAATTCTATAAAAGTAATACAAATAAAGAACTATAACTACTCACTCAACATTTATGGAGCACCATCTATACGGCACTGTATTTAGGCACTGGTATCAATACAAAAGGATATGTCTGAGCTTTGAGGAGCTATCAGATCCATGGACGAGACAGACACAAACTAATAAATGCAATTTGTTGTGATAAATGTTATTTTAAAAAAGTAAATATTGTTGTCAGTTTCTTATACAGTTAAACCTACCTACATTATAACTAAGCATTCCACTGCTAGGTATTTGCTTAAGGCAAATAAAAACATGTCTACAGAGACTTGTACAAGAATGTTTACAGCAGCTTTATTTACAATAGCCCTAAACTGGCAATGTTCCAAATATCTAACAAAAGAAGAATGGATGAAGATGTTATGGTGTATTGGAATACTACTCACCAAAAAAAAAAAAGCAACTACAGATACACATAAAAACAGATAAATCTCTTGGGACACCTGGGTGGCTCAGTCAGTTAAGCGTCTGACTTCGGCTTGGGTCATAATCTCACAGTTTATGAGTTCTAGCCCCGCATCAGGCTCTGTGCTGACAGCTTGGAGCATGGAGTCGGCTTTGGAATCTGTGTCTCCCCTCTCTCTGCCCCTCACCCACTCGTGTTCTAGCTCTCAAAAATAAATTTAAAAAACATTTAAAAACCCAGATAAATCTCAACATAAGGTTGAGTGAATGAAGTCAGAATAAGACTTTGCAATGTAGGATTCCATTTACATCAAGTTCAAAACTAATCTATGATTGTAGCAATCAAAACAGGGGTTATCTATAGTGGGTGGAGAATGACCAGAAGCAGGCACATAAAGCACATATCTTTCTGGGCTGATGGAAATATTCTATATTTTGACTGGGGTAGTAGTTGCAAAGGTATAAAAATTTACCAAAAATCATCAGATTGTACTCTTAAAGTCTATGCATTTCAGTGAATATAAATTTAACATCCACAAAAAAAAAAAGAAAAAAGAAGTGGGAGGAAGAAAGAAAGAAAGAAGGAAGGAAGGAAAGAAATACATACTTGAACATACACATACTATGAACATACATAGGAGTAACTATGAGGAAAAAATGGGTAAGTGGAATAAAAGAACAAAGGATACACCTCTGGGACTCTGGGAGATAAGGCAGAGTTCACCAAGCAGAAATAGGCAGAATGAAGCAGAAAGACCTTGGGAAGTGACTGAGAGACATAAAAAAATCAGTATTCAGAGAAGGGGAAAAAATATTCCATAGGCAGAATGGAATCAAGTAATTTTATTTTATTTTTTTATTAAAAAATTTTTTAATGTTTTATTTATTTCTGAGAAAGAGAGAGAGAGACAGCATGAGCAGGGGAGGGTCAGAGAGATAGGGAGACACAGAATCCGAAGCAGGCTCCAGGCTCTGAGATAGCTGTCAGCACAGAGCCTGACGCGGGGCTCGAACCCACGAACCATGAGATCATGACCTGAGCCAAAGTCAGATGCTTAACTGACTGAGCCACCCAGGCCCCCCACAAATAATCTGACTTAAAAAAAAATACTTTTTAAACATTTACTTTTTTGAAGACTAATATTGTGCATGAAGAATAAATTGTAGGAGGGGCACATTGATAATAGAGAAACTATTAAGGACATTATCTGTATTATTATATTGATATTAGAGGGAATCTAAGGCAAAAAGCATTATTAGAGTACAAAAATCATTACAAAATGTTAATAAGAACAATTCCCATTCCCAGGAAGATGCAACAATCCTAAATGTGGATATCTCTAATAAAATGTTTTTTTTCACTGAGTAGGCAGTTATCTTAGCCTTTGATTCAGAAATTTCCACTTCAATAAGTATGACACTAAAGTTAAAGTAGCCACAAGACTCCTGGTAACTTTACTGGTTTCTTTATCTGGAGGCAAAGTTCAACAGTAACCAGTTTCAGGTAAGGCACCCCAAAATATTTGGGCAAGGTATCCTTAAAATATTTCCAAAAGAAATTAACAGAACCACAAGGAGACACTGACAAATCTATGTAAAGGAAATTTTAAATACAATTTTAAATTACTCATATATCATCAAGTCAATTAAATATATATATTTTTAATTTGAGAGAGAGTACTAGCAGGGGGGAGAGAGAGAATCTTAAGCAGGCTCTACACTGACCGAGGAGTCCGACTTGGAGCTCGAACCCACCACTCTGGGATCATGAGATGAACCAAAACCAAGAGTCAGACACTTAAACAACTGAACCACCCAGGTGCCCTGAGTCTACCAAATATTAATAAGGATAGAGAAAATGCGAACCAATAAATGAGAGAGAGAGAGAGACTCTCAAACACACACACTTTTTATCCTAGCATCCAACAGTTTTTTTTTTTTAAGTTTATTTATTTATTTGAGAAAGAGAGAGACAGAGAGAGAATGAACGGGGGAGGGGTAGAGAAAGAGGGAGACAGAGAATCCCCAGCAAGCTCTGCATTCTCAGCACAGGGCCCCACTTGGGGATCAATTTCACAAACTGTGAGATCATGACCTGAGCCAAGATCAAGAGTCAGATGCTTAACCGACAGCCACCCAGGCACCTCTATAGTTCTCTTTTTAAGAATTCATTATGGGGGCTGAGGTTTAAGATAACTGGAAAAAACCATATTTACAACCCAAATAATACCTACACAAGTGGGGCTTAAAAATGTCTAGGCGCCTGGGTGGCTCAGTCGGTTAAGCGTCTGACTTTGGCTTAGGTCATGATCTCACAGTTCATGGGTTTGAGCCCCGCGTTGGACTCTGTACTGACAGCTAGCTCAAAGCTTGGAGACTGCTTCAGATTCTGTATCTCCCTCTCTGTCTGACCCTCCCCCGCTCACACTGTCTCTCTCTCTCTCAGAAATAAATAAAACATTTTTTTAAAATAAAAAAAAAAAAGAATTCTTTATGAAGGGCACCTGGGTCACTCAGTTGGTTAAGCATCCAAATCTTGGTTTTGGCTCAGGTCATGATCTCATGGTTCATGAGTTTGAGCCTTGTGCAGAGCTCAGTGCTGACAGTGCAGAACCTGCTTGGGATTCTCTCTCTCTCTCTCTCTGGCCCTCCCCCATGCTTGCTCTGGCTCTCTCCCTCAAAATAAATAACTTTATGAGACTGACACACTGCCCACTGCACTAAGGAGGCACCTTAAATAAACTTAAAAAAAAAAAAAACTCGGGGCGGCGCCTAGGTAGCTCAGTCAGTTAAGTGTCTGACTTCGACCAAGTCATGATCTCACGGTTCGTGGGTTCAAGCCCCGTGTCATGCTCTGTGCTGACAGCTCACAGCCTGGAGCCTGCTTCAGATTCTGTGTCTCCCTCTCTCTCTGCCCCTCCCCTACTCGTGCTGTTTCTCTCTCTGTCTCAAAAATAAATAAACTATTAAAAAAAAAAAACTTCATTGTGGAAATTGACCACAAGATAGGTCATACAGCAAATTTCAGTAAAGAATTGATATTGGGGTGCCTGGGTGATTCAGTTGGTTGAGCGGCCCAGCTCTTGATTTTGACTCAGGCCACGATTTCATGCTCATGGGATAGAGCCTTTGATTGGGCTCTGCACTGGGTGTGGAGCCTGCTTGAGATTCTCTCTCTCCCCTTCCCTCTACCCCTCCCGTTTGTGCTTTCTCTCAAAAAAAAGAAAAGAAAAGAATCAGCATTATACAATGTCCTATGATAATGCAATTAAAGCAATTAAGTTAGAAGGAAACAATCTGCAAAACTAAAAGGTAACTGATGGAATGGGAGAAGATATTTGCAAATGACATATCAGATATTTGCATATGACATATCAGATAAAGGGTTAGTATCCAAAATCTATAAAGAACTCATCATAATTCAACACCCAAAAACCAAATAATCCAGTGAAGAAATAGGCAAAAGACAGGAACAGACACTTCTCCAAAGAAGACATCCAGATGGCCAAGTGACAAAAGAAAAAATGCTCACCATCACTCATCATCAGAGAAATACAAATCAAAACCACAGTGAGATACCACCTCACACCTGTCAGAATGGTTAACATTAACAACTCAGGCAAGAACAGATGTTGCGGAGGGTGTGGAGAAAGGATCTCTTTTGCACTGCTGGTGGGAATGCAAACTGGTGCAGCCACTCTGGAAAACAGTATGGAGGTTTCTCAAAAAATTTAAAATAGAACTACTCTACAACT